GAATTAGAAATGAATTGCGGTCTAAATGGAATCCATCCAATATGACTCGCTGATAAACAGACACATTAACATATCGTCAATCATAAGACTTGCTCATCCACCCTTTGCTCCGTGAGACGCCTTCCTCATTGTCTCCAGATAATGATCAACCAGATACTGGTTCAATAGTATAAACAGAGAAGCTGGGATAAAATGACGGGTAACAATATATTCACTTCTTTTTTTTTTAACTTTTTTTTTTTTGATTTAGCTCTGCTCACGCAGTGCCAACACCGATCTTGGACTCGGAACTACTCCGTTCAGCGTTGGCCTTCTGAGACGAGAGGAATTTCTTGAACATGTTGGCAATGTCGGTCTCGGATTTCTTGGTCTCCTCCGCCGACTTGCCGTTCTTCTCTGTGATCAGGTTCTTCAGCCATTGATTCTCTAGCTCTAGCGCGGTCACGCGGGCTTCAAGAGCGGCATTCTTCTCGGTGGTCTCCTTGACTGTCTTCTCCAACGCTTGTTCTCGGAGCTTCTTCTTGACCCGGAATCGCGCGCTAGCAGCCGTGTTCCGGCGACGCTTGTCTTCCTCCGCGGCAATGCGGGCAGCCTCCTCCACGCTGATAGGTGCCGGCTTTTGTGTGTTCTTGCGCTTGGGTCCCGCCGCAGTGGTTGCAGAGGGAGCTGGAGCAGCTACTGGGCTGGTAGCTGGGCCAGTAGGCGATGTTGCAGACGAACTAGACTGACTCGGGGTGGGATTGGCGTTGAAGGGTGCATTTGAAAGCCCTGAAGGGATTGATGGGATCTTGGAAAATTGCGTATTTTGAACCGGAACCTGAGAGTTAATCGAGTTCAAGTTGGCTGCCGAAAAATCGGGCATGTTGCCCAAACCATCTAAGTGTGCGGATTAGCCTCAAGACCATAACCAAGTAGAAAATCAGCGCTCCAAAAGCCAAGCTGGACGACACAAGTGTAGGAAACCATTGCAGGATAAAACATCATGCTGAAGCAACTGAGATTGACGAGAGCGACCTGCTACACTCGTGCCAGATGAATGCAACGAGCATAACGATTTGATATGTCACGTGATATCGCGCCATACTTGACCCCATTCACGACAACGCTAAATTGCAAATTTGATGCAGGAAGCACATAACCTTTTTTAAAATAGCCGCACAAAGACAGGGGAAAAAGGTTCATGCAGACAGGGGTTGGTTTAGGTGGTTTGCCCATCCAATGATGGCCCGTGCAACGGAAATAGCGAACCGCAACCATGTGCCCCAATGATCCAAAAGGATTGCGCAAGATATCACGAGTCGCATGAGAGAATGAGGGGAAGAAGAAGAAGCAAAAATGTCTGAGCACAGTTGACAGTCATCGCATGATTGATCATGCTAAATGAACAGGGGACGAGCCTTCAAGCACTTGTGCGGGGAACAATTCCGCCATAGGTCCAGCTTGGGAGGAGGGAAAAAGATCAGACCACTAGAACTAGGTTTCACTCACCCCAAGAAGATCCAGAAACTCCAAATCGGGATTTTGGGTGCTATGTCCTCCATTCTGCCGTTCCGTTTTCTTCGCAGTGTCTTCATTTACAGCATCAAACGGAGGCAGGTTGAGATCCCCGAGATTGTCGAAATCGAAGAACTCGGTATTTGTGAACAATGAGAGTTCAGCATCGAGGTTGAAAGTATCTTGTCTCTGTTGCTGCTGCAGAGCCTGGTCGTACGGCGAGGGAATGGCATTCAAATCCTCAAGGTATTGAGAGAAGTTGGGCGCGCGGCGGCCGTTGAAACCGGACATGATGTAGGAGTGAGGCTAAGCCTCTATCAAGTTATCGAGACAAATCGAGTAGAAGCTGTTGGCTGTCTTCCGTGGCTTTCTTTTCAGATGATGCCTTCTTAGGGTGACAAATGCGTCCAAGACGAGGGGCGGAATGACTCGTCTATATGACTCCGCCGTATCAATCTGAGAAGATGTCGTAGCACTTGTCTGATGTGCTCGAATAGTCGCGTGGAGGTCGAATTGACTATGGAAGAGGGTCCGGAGATGAAAGAGAAGAAGAGAGAGGAACGGAAGAGACCAGACAATGAATAATACTCACAGTGGAACGCGGGCGATCGGGGAGCGTGGATGGGAATTTGCGCAGGGTGGGGGGTGGGCTGATGATTAATCCGGCGGAAGCAAGTCAACGCTCTTGAAGATGAATGGTCGGGCGATCCGATCTGAAATGATTAAAAAATCAAAGAAGGGTTTCACAGCCGGCATTTGACAAAAGCAAACGACTAATAATCTATTGATGCTTGATAGTATTCTATCATTTACTTTATCCTTTCTACAACAGCAATACAAAGCATACTCATCCAAAACATAGGATCGAATATCTTCACTCAAGTCCCCTGCGTCACTGAAAATAGACAACATTATGGTACAACTTTCTTTGTCTCGCCACTGTGGCCCATTGACTTTCCCTATCGAGAAAGGATTACATCGCACCCGAGTCATCTTTTTCGGTGACCGAGATCGGAGTCAACCGGATTCAAACCCCTCGAACAGACACTGTCCAATCTCCGGAACCATTATTTCACGAGGAAATGTGCGAATGGCGCTAATTTGTCAACTACCTGTTTTTGTCAATGCACTCTACTACTATGGTCCGTATGCTATGCAACCTATGTCTGAGTAGTCTGTAACTGTGTCCCTGCTCAATTTAGCCTGTGTTCAGTGTGACTGCTGAATACTGGTAGGGCTGCTCTCCTCGATAATCACAAGGAAAATGACTCCCGCGCATTAATAATCATCGCGCCTTATCTCGTATTCCTTTCCCTTGTGCGTCAGTGGTTGGCTCCAAAGCCTCAAGCTGATGGACTATTCCGGTTTAGCTTTTTTCTTTTTTGTCCATGACGCGGTTTGCGCATGAATCTCAGTTGCAGTCCTAGCCATGACCCTTGCAAATATACTGTCGTAGCTCTGATGCGGCAGATAAGCTACCCTACACCTGTAGATTTCCCTTGGCTTTCTTTCCAGTTTCTTCAGTGTGTGTCCGTGCACCATGGACTGCGTGCGGAGTGCGGAGTGCAACACTATTAGTAATGCTACTATCTTTCATGATGCCTAATTACACTGAGAAGATCTGTGGAGCATTGAATAGGCATGCTTGACCACAAATTGGGCTCTCAGAGTCAGGGCTGCTATATCTGCATTGTGTTCACTGTATCCTGTGATTGGAAGAGGTCTGTCCGGGTTAACAACCCTGCTCAAATGGGGTTACTGTTGGGTTTTTACTAACAGCGACAAATTGAAATCAGTCCAGTGCACCTATGGACCTGGTGGTTAAGTATGCGCATGCTAGGGAACTGAAGACCTCTCTTGTGCGTTCTAGTCGCAAATTATCAGACCACAACCGTCCAGTACCACCAGAGCCGTCAAACGGTCACTTCTCGAGCTCCTCCATGGTGTATGCCTAGATGTAGCAATTCGCCCTTTCCCTCCCTAAGAAGATACGTAGTTCAAGAAGCAGCAAGCAGCAATTGAAGAGTTCAGCCGTGATTGCTGCGTTTAAGTAACTGACACTTGGTAAGCTTCATCATGGCGTGATTCAACGAACGGTCAACATATGCCCAAGGCAGTAATGCCTGTTTCCATATATCGTGCTGCATTACAATCCATCATTCAATCCATCATTCAATCCATCATTCAATCCATCATTCAATCCATCATCACCAGCGCCTTCCCTCGAACGAGCCTAAAGAGTCACATTCGACTCAGTCCCTACCTTTCCTGTCACCGAGGACATCAAAGCACCAAAGCAATTGAATATGGTAGCACAAGTGTACGAGACCTTCAACAGAGAGCAGGCTACGGACAATATGATATGATGGTCAAAGCTGCAGAGCTCTTCAACGAAGACTACGGGTTCTGGGCGAAGCTATCAAGACAGGCTGGGGAGCAGACTATAGGATTTCTTACAGAATATATTTCGAACGTCTTTGGCAGGAAACCCGCTCAAGTTGAGTGAACGATGACTGCGTTCGGCAATACCTACCCCCTACCACCGACGGCGCTGGAAGTTTCTACATTAGGGTGACCATCGATGGGAATCTCGTCGGGAATGCGTTCTTCTGCCGCTGGAAGTTCAAGAGCAGAACTGTTTGCTGGTATTACTCAATTGTTGGATAGTGACTGTCGAAAAAATATCACTCGATTTCATTCGCGAAAACACCCGTTCTATCCTGTCGACTTCCCCAGTCCCTTATATCCGGGACGCTAAGCTGTGCGGAACCCTATTCAATTCAGGCGATACGAGTGGAATTTGTGTCGGGTGTGAACACTGCTGACTTCTTTGTCGAACCACGAAGAGCCATTGGACGCGCCGAAATTAGTTCAACGAAACTGGCAGTGGCCATTAAGGGACCTGCCAGGCGCGACGACAGCGACTCTGCTAGGCAGGATGAGCACTGAGATAGAAGACAGTTCAGTATGGGGTACCAAGGCCGCGGGGGAAACCTCGTGGCAGGCGTTGATATGATCCCAGACAGGCCTCAGGGCCGTCAAGCACCAACCACACGCCTATGAGACGACATCCTTTGCTTCCTTCATTCGTTCCTTTCTCCTTTTGTTTAGTGGACGGCGGATGGAGACGACTCCCCCGGCATAGCAGCTCCTAGAGAGGGTAGCTGTATGAATACTGCTGCTACTATGCTACCAGCTCTTGATAACTGTGCTCTTGAATGTGATTCAGCTTATCTATGGAACCTTCCACCATAAGTCTGTTTATACCTGTAGGTCTTGAGGCAGATATTGCATTTCTGCACAAACCTGAGTTCGCGAATCGTCAAGGTTGATGCCAGACCAATAAAATGCCGTGATGGAACAGAGATGTTTTGGAGTTGGGATTCCCCCAATCATATACAAGAGTGGGAAGTAGCTATAGTCATCGTCACGTGAAACCCCTACTTATCTCCACGTGCCCTCATTTGCTTTGTTTATTCTAATCTATTTCTGCCTTAGGCCCGAAGTCGCAATCGAGCTGCCACAAAGGAATCGTCCACCATTGTCATGTAACTCAGCCTCATGGGTTATGCTCCGTTTATAGTATAAAGAGGATCAATTTATCGCAGCAATGGCGCGTCCAAAGGCTATCCGTGCGCCTACAGCCGCCAGTCTACCCAACACTCTCCGCATCCCCTCCTCGACCCCGTCTCTCATAAAGTCATTCTCACGGCTATCCCGCCAGGCTCTTCTGGACCTGGTATTCCAGTGGCTCGACGATCGCAACGCGCAATTGTTTCCCCCATATCTTGAGCAAGACGAAGCTGACAACGCCGATGACGACGAACTCAGCCCGTACCCGGCAGCCGAAACGACCGAGGACGTCCGGAATGCTTACCAGGATTTACAAGATAGGAAGGGCGGCAAACGCGAGGTGATTGATCGTATATTGGAGGGCGACTGGCGACACGGTATTACCTTGCGCCAACTCGCAATGGTGGACATTCGGTATATGGAGGACCATCCAGCAAGTCTGCGATGGACCGCATTTGAACTCAGTCGCATTAGCATGGATGGATCTCGATCCGCAGGAGCAACGGCGCCAGACGTTTCCGCATGTCTACCACGCATCCACGCCGCTACTTTCCTGAGCAACCTTCAGCAGCAGATTTCTCCCCTGGTGAAAGCGCATTACCACCTCGTCCGCTCGGCCTCGCTTCCGCTCTCATTCCTGCGCATCTTAGTAACCAATTCTCCATACCAAAGCCCTCGCCAGCCACCTGAGGCTCTGACGGACTCATCGCGAGTGATGTACGTCGCTTTCCCCGACAGTTGCCCATTCATCTACACGTCAATAGCAACATCGCCCGTCGCGAAATCAAATACGTCCACCCACCATGCCGTCGCAACCGATGCTCGGAGTCTGCAGCGCATTGTACGAGATGCCTTGCCTAAAGCGTTATCGCGGCCACAAGAACGATATGCCTTGAAAGCGACCTCTCTGACTGCGAAGAATCTGCAAGCTTTGCTGGCGCTCCGCGGTCCCGGAAGATCCAACGCGGCCAATGGGGCGTTCAGTATATTCGCCGACGCCGTACTCGAAGGGAGCCCCTTGGACCCACGTCCGTCGGATACGATTTCTCCAGAAGAGCACTTCCACCAAGACTCAGACCCTGGCAAGGAGAATGAAATCCAGGAGGACAGCAACACAAGCAAAGAGACGGAGCCTACTTCCCATATCGCCAAGAAACGCAAATTAGCCGTTCACTCTCGTTTTGGCACATCTGGAACCCTCTCGTCTGCCCCTCTGGACCGCCTTGACGTGCGCCTGCTTGATCCGCCGAACGATGAGGATGACGAACCTGATGTGGACCGCACCCAACCAACAGTATCTCTCACATTTGCCGGCTCGGACGTCATCAGCGGCATCCGCAAGCTCGCCGAACTGGGTGTTGTCGAGCCGGAGCGTATGCCGTCCTGGATGACGGGCGAAGAAGCAGTCAGCGTAGCTGTTGTTCATCGAGGAAAGCGTGTAATCAAAGCTGGTTGACGGCAGGGACTAGTCTCCAGAAACTTGATCGCCAACCAGCAACACATTCTGAGGGAGAATGACGCCTTAACCCCTCCGATGCAACTGCCGCGGAGCAGTAAGGCGGCCCGCGAAATGCAGCCGTACAGACCCCGGGACTTCAGTACGTCCATGCACTGAACATTGGACGAGCGGTATCGTCAAGGTCGATAGCGCGGGCACAGGAGATTACCTGTCAAGCCTCTTGATGTACAGCGACCAGGCGAGCAGAATCCGAGTTTGCTCCGAGCCTCATAAGGTCGATAGATGGAAATATTGAACATCTACGAATTACACAGCTACACAGCAGTGCCTGGGGCAGCAAGCGAAGTATCTTGGAAAACATCAAACAACACAAATACAGATAGGGGTATATAGCAATCTAGCAATCCAAAACCCAGTGACCGACGCCTTGCACCATGTAACACGCAAACTCGTTTACCAGCGCGAATGCCACGACCTACGCGACCCATAATAGGACGATCCCGGGGAATCCCAGGGCCGATAATATGTTGAAGAGTCTATCACCAAGCGTCAACGATTAGTGACCTTTCCAAGAGACAAAGAAACCAGCCAAAGGGGACAAGTACAGGGACGGTCTCGTACCGCGGTCGCCAGGCATGCCGAGCAGATGCCCCACATTGAGATAACCTTCTTCGTTGACGTATCCGTCCTTGGCGAGCTGTTTTAGATCCAGTTCGCTACTACCGGTCTCCCATGCAGAACGGCTAGACGAGAGTCAGCATATCTCCACCATCTTTGTCTCAGGTAGTAGAAACCCACCAGTAAACGCAACGAACCCCCTGCGCGTTCTGCGTTGCAGCCCATTGTTGGAAACATGCCTTGTGGATGTTATTCCCGCATGCTGCGCGGCACCAGACAATCTCGTCTTTCTCTGGCTCGAGTTCCATGAAGCAGATGGGACAGTCTCCTTCGATGGGCTTGCGCTTGCCGTTGTTGTCCTCCGATTGTTCTTTTTGGCTGTTGAGGGGTGATGACTGGTACATTTCACGGAGTTCCTGTCATGCGATCCGCGTGAGTAATCTTATACAATTGCTTCCTTTAGGTAAACTCTTACCGAGGATAAGAATGCCAGCTGATACTGTAGATGTTCCGGGGCTTTGAGAGCGTTGATTAGGACTTGATAGGCCATAGTAGTTAGTGACTGTAAGGATAGCATAAAGATACAAGGCGAGTACTGAGCGAAAAGGGTCACAACGTTGAAACAAAATGCGTCGACATACCGTAGAATATGTGCTTGCACTGATTTCCTTTCCCTCCATCCGGACAATCGCAGGAAGGCACCTTCCCAATAACAACCTTATACAGATTTCCAGTCGTTCCCGCCATTTTAAACACGACTTCGGGCGCATCATCCACCTCGGTGACACAATGTTCCACGACACACATCCTGCTCAATGGCCCCGGGTTAGTGAACGTCGCACAAAAGGGGTACAGCCAAATCCTACCTCTGGGTTCGTGCTCGCGTCATCCTATCCATTATACACTTGGGTGCTTGTTTACGGAACGGTCTAGCGCGTCGCTCGGGGGTCGGCTCGCCAGGAAGGCGCTTCTTGGGGCTTCGAGTCTTCTTGGTCGGGGTCGTGGTGGGCGAGTCGGCTGTCAAGTCGATCACCTCGATGGAGCCAGCTGAGGCTGCAGAGTTGGTATTCACTCGTCTGCGCGCAATTTTTATTGGAGTCGTCGATAATTTGATCTCATCTTCGGCGTCTCGCTTTCTCTTGGTTGCTGACCGTGTATTGCTGGGTGTGCGCGCGCTGTAAACTCGACCCTGCGCCGGCGAGAAGCTGGTGATTGTTTGACGCGTTGTTGTTATCCGTGTACTTCCCATAATGACTAGCAGCACGAGCGGCGTATTCAGCGCCTCGAATGATGGGAACGTGTGGTAGACGGTGGTAGACCGATCTGAGCTACGGTGGCGTTCGATAAGTTGATAGATTTGTTTTGAGCAGACAAGACCTGGAACGCTGACATAATCACATACATCAATCAGCGAAGGTGGACGTAGACTTGATACTGACTCGATTCTTTTGATGTTGCATCTTGACCTTTGGAATATTGTCTCCTTTGTGCCTATTTAGATACTTCAATAGCCAGTCGGTGACACAAAACGGCGTAGATATATCATCATCTTTATGTGGAGGTTTGTTGGGTTTGTGTACTTTGTCCTGTTTGCTGGTAGCGATAAGTTATCAAGATAGCGATAACAAGGAGACACAGCATTCATTCCAAGTATTTGAAATTGATAGTCGAACCCGAAGTAGCAGACGAGCTTTCTATCTCCATGGGGTTGTGGCGTCTCGATTGATTCTGAATACAGCATTTCCAGTCGTCGATGGCCTGAAATACGCTCATCTGTTATATTGTTTGACTGTTGTAGGAGGCACCTCCTTCACTGCTATACCCTTCTGGGAACGATTATGTAACCCCACATGACTACATCCTAGGCCAAACAGATGATTATCGTTGGTGTTTTCAACGATTCCTCATGATATGATAGACTGAAGGAACAATTCCTTCAGGGTAGACATATGGCTCGTCCGCGAGGCTACTCGGGGGCTGATAGCTCCAAAGAACCCCATGTGGTCTCCCTAAAAGGTACGCACAATTGAGATCTCAACTGAAGCTACCTCTCGCTGATCCGGTCTCAGTATTGCGGTAAGCCGAGCTCAAAGAAGCATTTTGGCCGTATGCTAACCGAGTAAGCCTGTCGCGGCCTTCACTATCCAACCAATATCTCCTTCCGGCTGCAAACACCAAGATCTCAAGTAAAGCGTCCCTGAGCTATCCATCCGACAGTACCGATGACAAGTTCATCCTGAGTCCTAACGTAAGCCCTCAACTCCATCCACCAAGCCACAAGCTAACAAAAAGCCGCAGCTAACTTTACCCCCATCCTTTGGGTCGGCATACGTCGGGGAGACCTTCGCCTGCACGCTCAGCGCCAACAATGAGCTCCCGGAGGACGAGACCTCGCGCGTCGTCACCTCGGTCCGCATCGTGGCCGAAATGCAGACTCCATCCCAGGTCGCCTCGCTAGACCTGGAACCAGCGAACGATGCAGCGCAGACAGAAGGCCTGCAAAGGGGCCAGTCCCTGCAGAAAATCGTGCGCTTCGACCTCAAAGAAGAAGGGAATCACATCCTGGCCGTCAGCATCAGCTACACCGAGACGCTGATCGGGTCCGACGCGCAGGCTGCCAGCGGCCGGGTCAGGACATTCCGCAAACTGTACCAGTTCGTCGCGCAGCCGTGTCTCAGTGTCAGGACGAAATCCTCGGAGCTGGCTCCGTTGGAGGTGGAGAATAAGTCGTTGGGGCCGTATGGGAAAACCCGGCTACTGCGATTCGCATTGGAAGCACAGTTGGAGAATGTGGGCGATGGCACCGTGGTGGTCAAGGTCTGTGGAATGGGGGTATTTTACTGGATCATATCATTTTCTAACTGCAAGACACAGCAAACGAAACTCAATCCCAAACCGCCGTTCAAAGCCGTTTCCTTGAACTGGGACCTGGAGAGGCCCGACAAGGTCGACTGCCAGCCGCCCACGCTGAATCCACGGGATGTACTGCAGGTTGCATTCTTAGTTGAGCAGGAAGAAGGCCAGCAAGAGGGACTCGAAGCTTTGCAGAAGGACCTGAGGCGGGATGGGAGAGCCGTCCTGGGGCAGCTTTCGATTGAATGGAGGGGTGCGATGGGTGACAAGGGGTTCTTGACTACTGGGAATCTGTTGACAAAGAGGCGATCCTGAGGTGACCCTGGTTCTTAATCACCTTGCAATAATGAAGTCTCAAGGACCTCCATTAGTACTGGCTTTGTCATGCATCAGTAGACTAACTATAGGTGTGCCCCTCTATTATTGTTGAAAATTGCTCCGCCACTTGTTTAATCAACAGATGCATAGAGATTCTCGCACCTGCTGCTGCGGCTTCATTTCCACAAGGATACATTTGTTGCCATGCTGTACCACCCGCCATGAGATGTCAATAGTCTTAACAGCTACTTACTGCCTTACTGCCTGAACTTCTTGAGCGCCGCAGAACGACGATACTTGGTATTCTGATTTGCGCTCAGATCTTTACATTGCTCAAGGTTAAAGAGATGGGAGAGTGTAGAAGAAGCAGGTAAATAGGAAGAAAGTGAATGAGATCAATAATTAATTGACCTGAACCTATGAATATATACAGTACAGTACAAATGACAAATGCCTTTCCTCCAGCCGAATGCGATCCATATCCATATCCAAACCAGGTATCACAGGTTCCAACCAAGTTTCCTTTCCAATGCAGGCCAATCCAGCAAATCAAACAATATAGTAAAACAGTTCCTCGCGACGAATTGACGTTCCAGCATCCACAACCAAAGGGGGTATCTATTCCTGTTTTCTGTAGCCTCCGGGGCCGCGAGGCTCAGTGTAGTAGGGGTCTAATCCCAGAGCACCTGTGCTATGTATGCACACTTTTGATATCCCGAGGGTACTCCAAATCAATCCGGTCGCTTTGTCAGAATGATCGCAAAAAGAAAATGAGAGCAAGAATTTTGAGATCACAAGCGCCGCCCGAGATATTAGAAGTATCGACAACGAAGGTACGGATCAAAATAAGCGATGGCATCGTATAAAGCATGAACAAAGATAGTCAAAATCTGATCGATCAGAAGTCGTAAAGTCGTAAAAAATAAGCTCAATGGCCGTCAGAACGGCCGTAATCAGCATGAGAAAAAGAAGATATTGCCAATAGAATCAACCATTGGTAGTGACCGACTTGGCCTTGGAAGGATGAGTCCAAGCGAAGAGGTCAAATTTGTCCTTGGCGTTCTCCATGATAGAGGAGGCGCTAGACTCTGGCTGCAAAGTCGGCCGCGGCGTGATCTCGCGCGGCTCCAGAATGAGAGAGCGACGATAGAAAGTCTGCAGGCTCTTTTCGCCATTGGAACGCACCCGCACCAGCTCGTTCTGCATCCAGGTCTGAAGTTCGGGAACCTCGATGAGACGGTAGGGTATCTGGAACCGCTGGAGCTCGCTGATGATCTTGGCGGTCTTCATGTGCTTGTCAAAGTTGATGACGGTCATCTCACCGTCATCGGTAGGCAGGCTTCGCAGCGGCTGGTTCCCGTGGTCCACGAACGTCAGGTCTGTGAGGTAGGTGCCGACGAAAGGAAGACATGGCGGAACATGGGTCTGCAGTCTCTGCCGCAGGACAGCATAGTTGCGCGACACATCCACGATGCCCCGTAGGGTCTCGAGAGTGGCTTTGGTCTTCTGCGATACAACCTCCCAGGTCCGCTTCAGACGCGAGATCATTGATGAGTTCAGAGAGCAGATAATGGCCATCAAAGTGTCATAGTTATTGAGTTCCAGGCACTTATTAGCAATCTTGACCCACTGCTTGATGATAGCCGCCCGCTTCTTCGGTTCCTCCAGCTGCAGGATGGAATCAGCCACCAGATGGGCGAGATCGGTGGACAAAGTCGACATGGCACGGACATTGACGGCCAGTGAAGCGCTCTTTTTCATCCACTCCGTCGCCAACAGCTCCTCGGGAAGAATGGCGCAGAAGATGCGTGACTCCTTGATGGTGAGCTGACGGGCCAGCTCCAATGGATCAAAGTCCAGGATGCTGATCGCAGCCTCGCCGTTCTTCCACTGTTTCAGCAGGTTCACCTCCTTCTTGCTGAGAATGGGAGAGGGGAGAGGGGTGTCCGGGTGCACATATTGTGCGGTTGCGGTGTTGGTCTTTCCCATGGACGAGATGAGACGGGGCACGACGGGTCCCTGGAGCGTCGAAACCTTGTCCGCCAGTTCCAGAAGGCGTTTTCCTGCGGAGGGGAGGGATTGCATCAAAGTAGTGTTGGCAAAGTTGACAATAAAATCCAGAGCCGAGTCATCGCAGTCATGCCGCCAGTGTGACTCCAGCCAACCCTTGAACACGTTGTACACGCGGAGACGCACGGGGCCCGCGGCGTGCGGGTATCACCAATGTAGTCAAACCGATCAGCAAGGGCCTCGGCAAACTCCAGCGGCGTCGCAAATAGACGGAAGGTGAGGTAAAAGGTGGAGACGAACATCGCGTCTGGCGTCGATCCATGAGAGGTGAGCTTCTCGATCAGCGCCCGAAGGCTGCCGCCCATGACTTGACCATCCTTGAAGATCAATTCATGCGCATATGTCTTCTCCAGAATATTTACTTCGGTCTCCTCTCCCTCCTCCGCCAGCGTCGAGTGGCTGACACAGCTCTTGAGCGATGGAGCCTGGTAGCAGCTGCCAATGTCTGGAGATGTGGCGCGAGTAGAAGTTTGAGACACTCCACTCATTTCCGAGTCACGGAGGTGGCTGTGGTAGGTGAAGCTGCTTCCAGTACTGGTCACTCCACGGCCAAAAGTCTCACCGATCTCGGACTTGGGATGGCTGATACGGTTCTCGAGTATCTTAACACCAGCGGTCGCATCATAAGACGAGGAGAATGAGGACTTCGCTGGGCTGGAGGGAGGGATGCTAGCGGATGGCAATGGCGCCTCGTCATTTGCGGCAATGGTGGGGCTGCTGAGTGTGCGGGAATTGAAAGAAGAAGATGGAGTGGTATCATCGGTGAGACCTGGGGTGGGAGGGGAGAAGTCGAGATCTGCGTTCTGGGGATCTGCAGGGGAGGTGGTGGGAGTCGTAGGGAAGTTCCAGGTAGGTCGCCTTTCTGCTGTTGCGATTGCGACTCGGGTCTGGCACCAACCAATGGCGTCGCAACGTCTTGCGGCAGTGCCTCGAGTTCGAAATCTCCAACCTGCTCCAGCACCAGGCGAGCTTTGGCCAGACAGTTCCCTGCCGCTCGGACGCAGTCGGTGGCGGCGTCGACCAGTCGCTTTCCTTCATCGGGCATGAAGACAAGCTCGTCGTCGGGGGACTGGGCGGGTCGGAAGGCGTCCCGTGCAGCGAAAACGAGCTCGGACAGTCGCTCATACATCGTATCCTTGGCGCGCTCGAGGAGCGCACTGCCTTGAGAGTCGTGTTCACAGACAGCCTCGACCACAGTGAGCAGACCGCGGCAAGACCGGACAGCCTGCTCGGTTGTGACGACTAGCTCGGTTGAGGAGCGAGACTGCAGGTGGAGACCAATGAATGAACCCAGCACACCGAGGAAAGCATCGTACGTGGCGTTGAGTCGTTCCGATGCGAGATTCGGGTTTCGGGAAGCTGCAGCTGGTCCCGAGTAAGACACCCGGTGGGAGATGGATATCCGTTTTGTGGCGACGGAAATGGGCCGTGGCTGCTCAGACATGTCCACTCGGGTGGAACAGCGACTCATAGACATGCAGCTGCGGTTGAGAACCCGCGACTCGTTTCGTTCGGTCTCAGCTTCCGAGGCGGGCCTTTCCGACATGACAAATGTCTCGGATGCAGGTGTTAGGGGAGAAGCGTAATCCTTGGTTTGCTCCAGCTCCGCGATTGTTCGACTCAGACCAACCTCCTCGTTCCAGATATCGAGAAACCGCACACCGCGGGTCACGACGCGGAACGCCTTGAGGAGCATCTCATCGACCATGTACTCGACCTCGTCTTGTACGGGATTTCCGCTAGCAATCACTTGGAAACTCTTGGTTGTACGAACAAGCGCTGTAAGGTCCGAAAGCAATGCTTTTCGGTTTCTTCGCAGACCCTCGTGCCTTCGGACAAGGAACGAGTCGCGGGTGAGACATTCTGATTTTTCCTGGAGGGCCGTCAATTGCCTTGTCTTTGAATCACTTGGCTCAGGACACTCACCAGAAGGAAGCGTACTCCGGCAATCAGGCCCCTTACAAGATCCTGATTTCCAAAGTCACGAAGAGACGACCCGCATCCACCTCGGATAATATCCCAGAAGTCGGTCAATGCCTTCAGGAGGGGTCTCATGGGCAGTTGGTCATAGGCTTCGCAGTAATTGGTGGGTAGCCAGCCTCGGGCTCCGGTGTCCAGAAGCGTTCCGTCAGCCCAGCCATTGGTGTGTACCGAGTGTACCAGAATGATATCTCCTTGGTCCAATGGCAGAGTAATCGTATCTGGCGAAACATCTCCCGGCGGATGGAAAGGATAGAATGCACGTAGATAGTTGTGGAAGACGGTCCTGGGGGCCTCCGTCCGATCCATGCTGTTGTCTTTGGATGAGGTTGCGCAGTAAGGCGTCAGAGGTGGTGACATCTGCAGACTGTGCTGTGTAGAATAGTAATGATTGCTAGAAGGGTCTCCAGACTCTGAAGTGGTCGACCCGCAAGGATAGGAGATTGTCTTTTCGACTTTTAACGGCGCAATGTGTCGCTTCATTGGTTCCATGTCTCTATTCCCTAGCGACCTATTCGTTCTCTTTCTCGTTCCGGTAGCGTTTAGCCGGCGCGAAGGTCACTGACCGAAGCGATTAGGTGAGGCAGAACTCAATGAGCATCCTCAGAGGAGACTGTTCTTTAGAGATAGTGTAAATGCAAGAGGAATTGAAAGTGGAGATATCAGGATCTCTGGCCTGAATGAATCAAGGTCGTAACGATGACGCCCACAGCGGTCCGACAAGCGGCCAGGTTACTCGTCTAGGGTCAATGGTTAGCGGTGGCTTGATCCCTTTTACACAGTAGGGACGAGGGATGACGGTCTCAAGGTGGTCGATGAGGATGTGGTTGCTAGGGTTTATTGTTGTGCACCTCAACCTAGGGAATGTTGGCTGCCAAGGGCAGTGGGGAGAAGGAATGGAAGGAATGCTGGGGACAGAAAATATTCTTGGATTTCCTTAATTTCATCTTGGAAGAAGCGAGGGCACAGACATACCTATGGTCTAATCTTCAATAACAACGATAGGAAATGATTATCGAATAAGCTGTCAACATGGACTGCAGCAGCGTCAAGGGATAGCGCACGCTGCGTACAAAATCTTGGGAGCAAGGAAGGAGCAGGCACACGTTCCAAGTCGCAACGAGGGTGAGAGAATAGGAGATTTCGGCGAGCACGAGAAGGAGGGTCCGGAGAATTGAAGGTGGTAGGGGAAGGGATGAAGGAGAGAAAAGACGACGAAGATAGGGCAAGCGAGTTCACTCGTTGTTCTGGTGATGATATAAGTGAGAATCTTCCCTTGATCCCGCCACCTGCAAGTAATCTCGAGTAAGAGTAGTAGTAAGTAGTGATTAATAGCTGAAATCGTTGATCCCCTCTCTTTTCGAGGTTCTGGAACTATGCTGCTTGGACTGCTGCAAGGACCACTTGGACACTTGGACCCTCGAATCCGGGGGAAGGATTACGGAGACGAAGGGGAGAAGTCGAACAATAGCGTTGAGGGATGTTGATAAGATTCTCGTCCCAATTGACTCGACACTCGACCGTCCGACAATCAGGGGAGTGGTCGTTGGCTTGTCGACTCTGGTCCGCCTCAAACACCAAGCAAGGGCTGAGAAACACCAACAGCAGGGAGGAATGAACGGTCCGTCTGGTTGACAAGTCGAGTCTCTAGTTTGCAGCGAGGGATTGCCACCGGCAGCAATTGTTTAATGACGATGATGACGACGATGATGAAGATGATGAAGACGATGATAATAATAATATGAAAATAAAATAATGAATGATCGTAGACCAGCAATGATCTTGGAAGAAAGTGGGAGAGAGAGGGAAAGGAGTACTGTGATGTTGACAGATGGAGAGGAGAGCAGCAAAGTAAGTAATATCAGGCTATCAGCATAAGTATGGTCTGGACAGTAGTAATAGTAAGTGGAATTATAAAATAAGAATTAATATTAATATAATTAGTAGTGCTAGTAGTGTACTAATATTATTTTTCATTTGACATATCGCAAAGAAAAGGAGAAATAAGAAATATTAATGAGTCGCCATGGAGAAAAGAAAAAGGGACTAGAACCAGTCGTCGAGCACGAACTAGACTAGCAAATAGTCCGTTGGTACTACTTTTCCATAGTCGAACGATAATCATGGACGAGTAAAAAAGAAACAAAAAATCAGCCAAAGATCCCGTGCGAGGGCCAAAGGATCCAATTCTTTGCTTAAAAAAGGTGGAGTACTATCCATGCTCTCCCATAGACACTAAGAGAGGGTGGAATCGGGAGAGCATGGAGTATTAAGAGCACGGAGTACGCAGTGCAGCCTACAGAGAATATCACTTAATACCCTTATTATTATGTCCTCAATTGTGAAGACAGGGCCATCTTCCCCATGTTGTTTGCTTCGTATGCTATCGTCATCATGCTCCTCGCAAAATCTGTGATGCAATGCGATTGACCTGGTGTTTTCCGAGGACAGAGAACGAAGAGCTTGACCGTCGACGAAACGCAAGCTAACGAAGGTCGGCAGAGCCAAAATCAAAATATACTATGATGGATTGGGTAAGTGATCTTCCATCACATCAGTCCAACGTTCTGTCCTAACTCCAAGGTCCTAGTGATCCCCCATTCGGTTGGAAGATGACGACGTACCACTCGTATGGTGCCGTGGTGAATCGAAGACTAAAATGATCCCAAACTGATCACTAGTTTGAACGTTGGGGGAACTGGAACCTCTATCACGCATTCAGGGGAAAATATCTATCCAAGTGATCACATTATCACAGACTAAGAAACGGCTCGAGGACGATCCAAACGGACCGAGTCCCTTTTTCTCCCCCTGTCCAACTACTCCAACTATAATCACGATCCTTGTCCTTAGCCACGGAAAAATAAAAAAAAACTTGACGTGCTATTTAGTATTTATATTAATAATCGGCCTATTATTTTCCAAGAAATAGATTAAATGTCAAAGGACCTACCAATGCGAGGACGTAAACACCATAAAGATAATACCCTTACCCAATGCTAAGTGAGTCCTGCGGTTCCACTGTGCAAAGACCCGCATATGGGACAAACAACAGAGGCAAACCCCGCCAGGAATTAGACATTTCCTTAGCAACAGTTGAGGACTGAGTCTAGGTAGTCCAGATAGATATCTTTCTAGCAAGCAGTAAACGAATGCTCCCGTCTTCTGTGGCGAAGTTAAGTTGGCCCGTCTCTCCCCGTCAGGTTGCCGTCAAAGTCCATAGAGATTGATCCTGAATCGAAGTTTTGATCAATCCTTTGAGAGAACGACTTTGCCTTTTGCTTGGGATTTCCGGTACGTGTCCGTAGTTCAAGCCGGGTGTGGGGATCGACGGCGCAGCAACCGTGTCGAGTCGAAAGTACTTCTGGACGCGTTGGTGGCAGACTCATATTTAGGATGACTTAATATAAACAATGCGAGGAGTGCCTCTCTACCTCGCTGATTTGGTTGACTTTGCTTTCGACATGGTTCTTTATCATTCTCTGGTTCACACAGATGCAAGAAGAACAGATCGAAAAATTAGTGTTTGGCAATAGCAGAATGCAGCAAAGCCAAAGGGGAAGTCAGTCCCAGAAAAGGAGCTCATTTCCTGACTAACGGGGCCTTTGAAAATTGGAGCTGTCGACTGTCGCGGAAACGGACTTGATCCTTCCACATGTCACTAGTCCTATGTACGAAGTACGATTTGTAGGTAGATATCTTTCTATACTTTGTCACATTTCCAGTCTAACACTCTTCTACCTGGTAAAGTATCTGAATCTACGGAGTATATTGATCAAGTTACACGATATACACAATTGGTGGCTGGCAGGATCTTATGATAGATACTGCCAATTGTATACGTTCAAAACAACTTACGACTGTATCTCAGGTGTCTATATATAACCGCCCCATTATCAGGCAATATCGTTACGACCCTGACAAAGCATGAGTGTCCAGTTTTTCATCAAGTCAACCAGTCCCTGAGTCGAAATAATCTTGAACTAGAGTACGCAAGGCGCTCGAAGTTTCGAAATACCTATTAATGAGGTTCGATATATGTCACAAAGTCTTCAATCAAGGCATATCTACGGAGTAGATACACTTTGCTGTGCATCTCTGCCATGCCGTCTTGACCCACGGTAGGCAGCACCAATGATCAACCCCGTTATCATCGATGGCCTCTTCAGAGAAAAGTCCAAATTACCGGATAAACCCAAAGTCCATGGCATACCTACTTACAGAGTAGTCTACCGCGTCGCTTACGGCTGCGTACTCCGTAGATATACTCCGTACTCCGTAGTATTAGATGATTTAACGACGCAAGGGCGGATCTGATATGCCCGTTTCACACTTCCATAGCTTCATTTCACGCATACGTCAAAACTTGTCCGGGACTCGCTAGCACCCCATACATTGTACATGTCAGATGATTTACGATGATATAGAATATGATAGGAGATAATATGACGGCCACCGCGCACTGCACAGACAACCAGATACGAGAGACAGGACAGTCACACAGACACAGGACACCTTATCGCCGATCCACTCCTCTGGGATACCAGCGACCTGGTCCGGGGCAGGCTAATCGGTGAATATACTTTTCTAGTTGTATCACCTTTAGAGAAGGATCTACTACTTGTGGATACAACAACAAGCTCTCGAGTATGATTTTCGCCATGTGAGCTCAGTTGTGGCTATAACTCGCTGTACATGCTATACTTGGTCAGTTGCTTGGATGATCCGCGTGATTTGCAATGATCCGGTCCAAGGTCCTAGTAGATGCAAAATATATATTCAATATCAGTACTACTGATGCAGGGACAATCCTAGGATCGAGATCCTAGATAGTTCCTACGCATTCTGCGGGTCTACAACAAATAACCAGATAACAAGCCCCATCGCATCGTATCCTGATCCTGATCCTGATATCGTAAAAGCACACGATCCGGCGATGGTCTGATGCACAAGGCCCGATATAGCAGTAGCAGAACTACGTAGGAGTACTCAGTAGGACCACAACCCTGGCCACTACGCTACGGCATCTTCCCCGGCCCCAGAGCACTTACGTTTGGCGGCTTGGCCCCAAAATCCAATTTTTGAGTCCTGCCGTCCCGTCACCCAAGAGACTAAGGCAAAGACAAAGGGCAATGACATCTTGCGGTGGGACGGGTATGTACTTTGCTTTTGCCGCCGTGCCTCGGATTGGACAATAAACCGCGCGACACTTGAAAATCCTTCGTGACGCGGTGTCTGGAGGGGTCCCCGCTATCCGGGATTCTGACCGTCCAGGGCCCTTGTCGTTGCCAGGAGCTTGTTCAGACAGGAAGCGCTGCTTCTCTGGATCGATCTAATCATTGTGGCCTAACTACTACTAAGTAGTACTACTATTTTCTAGGAGCGTAGTGGTCCATCTACCGTTGTCCCTTATACAATCTACTACTGGGAACCGGCTTGAAGCGATGGAGAGTTGCCGACCGTAGATTCCGCAGCATCCGACCAGAGTGCCCAGAATTTAGACTCCAAACCAAGACAAGATAGCTAACTGGATAAGAGGATTAATGTCGATGGCACGGAGAGTCTACTGCAGGATCCTGAGCTTCATTTCGCCTTGCACTAGACCTAGCTTAGCTTATTTAGGTAGGTAGGTAACCTAAGAGAGGTAAAGTACCGTGTGTTCCCGTCCTTAACCAAAACTCCAGCAAGAACTTGGACTGAGCAGCCTATCACAGGGTGCATGTGCTCGCTGTTATATGCGGGCTAAGGCTCTAAGCTCTTCTGGCCCTGGCAGTTTGCCACTGTTTCTTTGTCTGCTCAAGAGCTAGCTAGCTAGCTAAGCGCTGCACATGGAGCTTCCTGCTCCTAACCTACAGAGTCCTTGCTAGCAGTCGCTACAAGGATGCTCCGACTACCGAACGTCAAGACGGCTCCGAAGCTTTACCAAAAGGGCAACTTGGAAGCGCGACCATGGTTCGCCACCACTTGGTTCAGGAAACAAAACAATATCAATTGCGACATGGTGATCATTGTTGATCTGGTCATGACTCGAATCCATGGCGATAAATAGATTATCCCACGGATATGCTTGACTGTTTAGGGCCATCCTTCCAGTCCCCGGTCACCGACACTTAACACTTGTCACTAAAGCCAGGGGGTGAACAGGGGTTTATTTTCCATCCCGCGGCTTAGGCCACAGTCTGGCTCTGCCGCCGCACCGCAGTCACTGTCCACAATCATACGTCCGCTTGTGTAGCTCCTCGTGGAGTTATATGACTGTGGACTCGTGGTCTCATGGACAAACACCCTATGATGTTAGTTGCTACTGCTAGGGGGGCAGGGCCATTGGACGTTGAGAATTAGAAGGATTTGGCCAACCAGTCCACTGGAGCAACCAGAGCAACACCTGGGACGGCACGATATTGCCTTTTTGTCCATCATTACCATATTGGGACAACGGATGGAGCTCGTGATGGAGACCGCGGAGGTGTTCTTTATCTCAACTGGGTTAGGAGTTGCCTCTTTGGGAGAGAGGACTGCTGTATGAGTGTGAGACTTCTCCGTACGCAGTCTTCAAATGGTCCAGACAGGCGATACGCCTTACTCGTAGACGTGTCCAGCGGTTATCTGTCAAAGACCGCCTGGTAGGGACAATTCCGTGACGCGAATAGTAAAAAGGCAAAGTGCTGACTCGAGCTGTGATGGCCAACGGAGAAGGCACTCAGGGGTAATTATTGAATATAGTTTAGAAGACTAACAGCTACTGCCTTACGCTGCCTGGACTTGCAGGCACCAACCATGTTCCTCCTCACGTGCTGCTGTCAGCTGTTCCCTCCTGGTTTATAGTTTTCTCAGAACCTTCTAACGCTGGTTCGGTATCCACCAGATGCAGAGTACAATTAGTATTCTTCAGATTAGTTCAAAGTTCAGCCCGACTCAAAGGTTAAATGGGAGTCGCGAATCCTTCGAACAAACCTGCAGCGGCGTGTTTCACACTGCCTGTACGGAGTAGCTACTTAGTCCACTCCACCACCCCATTGCCATTCCTCCATGACGCAGGACAATCGACATTATTATTCAGTTTCGATGGTCTCCATACCAGACGCACTTTGGTCTCACGAAGGGCTGAGAATCGATCGTATTGTGGACAATGTGGGGTCCTTGCCCACAATCACTCGCAGAGACGGGATCGAAATCGACTGTCATCGGCGAACGAACTGTGGAACTAGGAAAGCCGCTTTAGGTCCCAGACAGCCGGTACTACGGAGTATATTTGCAGAATTATGCTGTATGTTGTCGTGCACAGGGATGCAGATTGTCTATACTTCCTGTGACAGATCTGAGGGATATTCTGTTACTATGTTGAACTCCCGTACCACCGTTTTGCCTCGCCTCGACCCAAGTAAAGGTACAGGTGATTTGGTTCATGTTCGACAGACGCGCCAAGGAGAACTGATATCGGTCTATGCGCACTGTCTATGTTATTTCTTGATGATTTCTATGGCTCAGACTGGATGCTCCTTTACATCAAGCACGGAATTGTCCTTCCAGATGCAGATGTAGGAGTCACCTGTTGTGCAAGTGGATGACCACTGTGAATGCTGTTGGTAGAACTGCTCAACTGTGGTGCTGAACCCACAAATCAAAGGCTTTACTCCGTAAAGCTGGCAGCAATGGCATTGTTCGACTCTGCACGTTCGCTCCTCCACTTTCGCCCCACCAGTCCACCCTTCTTCTGTCCATTGGTTCTTCAATCCGACGGTTTGTACACTTCTGCAGGGGCCGGCATATGGCTATGTCATGAACCTCCATTGGTCAATCCAGTCGGGGACCTGACAGACTGAAAGTCCTCCTCAGTGCCCATCATCGGACTCGGAGTGGGGGGAAATATTTCGCTTCGCCAGTGGTTGGTCCGGCCTTATGGACGTCCGGTTACTTGAGTTTGCCAGTTGCCGTGCAACTCTACTGATCGTGCCGGGTTGCCTGGATAGTCAGGTACGATTGACATGATCCGCCCCGTGCAATTGTCAATAATGACGCGTCGGTTGAGTTTCTATTTTTTTCTCCCAGAAGTATTGGTCAAGGACCAGAGGGCTGGTATCTGGAGGCATTTGCTAGAGCATTCAGGCGCTGCTGACTCTGCACAGATGCCCAATGCTACAATACAGAAGTGGAATGCAGTTCTAGTGACAAGGGTTACTAATTATTTAAGCTTGTTATACTGAATGGCGCGTGCTCCCCTGTCATCAACGTGGACTCATTCATTAAGGTTGAAGCCAAATGAGGCTTGAATAATCTACAGGGATCTGTACAGACACTGTTGCGCAATCTGCGATCGCTGATTCTAGTCCAAGTCCAAGTCCGATCGAGACAAGGTCGTCAAGGCTGTGATGAGTGAATGTGTTTCCGCGCTTGCATATCACATTCTGCAGGTCCATTCTGTGCAAAGTACTGAATATGAAGTTTGACTTTTACAGGAAACCGATCACGTTTCTCCTGTTCCTGTCACTTGTTGAAACTTGGGAGTCGGGGTGCCGCGGAGTGGGCAAGTCTAGATGGCTGACAGGCTGAAGCCGAGCCCAGCTTGTTGCTTCGAGATTCATCACGTCGAATATCCTCCAATGACAAGGCTCATCAACATAAAAGCCTCGTGCAGATGGTCGCCTCGTCCCTGGTGATCACAGCCTGTCGGGATAAGATTACCAGATGCAGACAACCCGATGCATCAATGCATGCTTGATTGCTAAGGTGGCTGCAGATGGCTTCGGATATGAGCCTAGTATTTTGGCCCTCTCTGCATCTTCAAGCATTGCGATTTCCGGCGTCTGACTCGACAGCGACGGCTGGCGCGCTCTCCTTTCACGTGCTCGCGTCGATCGGTGTGATAGAAACGAAGAGGCTGCAGGATGGGGCTTGTCAAATCTGCAGCTTGCACTCGCACTAAGCACTTAGTCTGAAGCGACTAAATCAAGTCCAATTTGGCAATTGGCCGCATTGATTTTGCTGCCGCGTTATGCATGCTGTCTAGTCTTGTGTCTCGTGCGGTGGAACTAGCTGTCATATTGACTTTTGCCTGAATTGACAAGTCAGCTATCATTCATGCAATATTTGGACAATGTCTCAGCGTACCTATTTCTCTGTCCAATACTAATTCGATCGCTACAGCTCAGTCTGATTCTGGACTTTAAAGCCATTTCTGCTGCATCTGCCTCTACCTTTCGTAGTCGTATATTTAGCAATAGCAGACTGGAGTCATCAGCAGAACAGAGCACAATATCAGTGTAGAATAGTGTACTTGATCTCCATTCTTGAAATCTGCCCAGTGCACAAGACGGAATATAGTCTACATTGTTCATTGACGGAGAAATGCATCCCTCGCATTCCATTCCTCCAGCCACACACAACCCTGGGCAGGGCCAGGGCTACCTTGCCCTCACTGTTAAGCGCGTTCACTTCACAATCTGCAATTGATCTTGTTACTGCTTATAGTGTCTGATTCTCAACATCCCATTACTGAACAGAAGAAATTCAATCACCGTACGGAGTACAGAGTACAGAGTACAAAGTACTTGTAGCTGTAGCTGACCACAACCCGCAGAGGTAGTAACTAATAACCGCATCAAGGGATAAGGTACCATCACCAGCCATCCCAACCCAACAAAAGACAAACGCGTCGATCCTCGCGTAGCAGCATACCAGTCCGCTCTCACGGTGGACAATCGATACAGCGACAGGCGACATATATCACCCCCGCAACACGACCAAACATCCTCATCCTCATTTCTTCTTGACCGTAGCCAACCCACAGACCTAGCAACTTGTACATGATATCGATCCCACCATGGAACTAAAAATAAAAACCCACCTATCACTCCTCCTCCTCCTCTCCGTGGTCATCGCCTGCGCAGCCCCAATCCAGAGTCCGATTTCGACCCTCCACACCCGCCAGGAACCAGGAGGAGAAGCAGAACCAGGAGCAGAAACAGAAGCAGAAGCAGAAGCAGAAGACCTGGACTCGCTGCTGCCGTCGCCGTTGGATTCACCATTGGACTTATCGTTGCCTCCGTTGCCTAAGCCCGAGCCGCTAGACGTCGATAGCATGCTTGCGAATTCGCCGCTTAGCGACTTTTATAAGATAATCAAGGAGGAGGTTAAAGGTTTGTTTCACTTCCGGTTTGGCACGCGGGTATGTGACTGCTGATTGCTGATGCAGTGTTTAGTTGATTTGCCAAGTATGAGGCATAAGAATCGGCCTATATGAGCTGGTCTGCAAGGAACTTGGCGAAAGGTTACGGTGGTTTGGTTTTCTTATATAAGATATAATTTGCTTGGTGTTGATATAGGTGCTGCCTTCTGACCGGTCTCTCTTCTTTTTGTATATATTTGCTAATGCATTCTGCAGGTCTTCTTGGGCTGGAGTTGATTTGATCGGTTTTACTGTTGGTGGCTGGGTCTTTCTTTCTGTCAGTGGAAAAAGATTGTGGTGTATCATATAGTTCGAATGAACGGTTCTTGGCCGGCGTTGGCGTTTCATAAATGGATTAGATTCACCCATAATGCTTCACTCGTATCACTGTATACCTAGAACATCCCCTCCATATCCAGATCCAAAAACTCCGGGTTCCCAACCGCCATATCCGCCGCGTTCAGTACATCGTCGATACTCGTGTCGAGCCCCGTCCCAGACGAATCCAGCCCCGCCGCCGCCGCAGCATTGTCAATCATGCGATGGATGTTCTCTGCATCGTCGGGCCCAACTCCATGGTCGGCGGCCCCGCGGCATCCAGCTCCATCTGGCCTGCGCCCACACCCACACCCACACCCCCAGCTGCATGTTCTGTATGATGTTGTTGACGTCCAGGTTAGGAACCTGAGACGGCGGCGCCAGCAGCGCGTTGACCCGCCGGTACAGGCGCACAATCACCTCCGCGCGCAGGGGGTCCTTCTCTGAGATCTTGGGCACGTTCTCGTGCTGCAGCGCCAGCACGTCACGGAGGGTCAGGATCCCGCACCGCGGCAGCGCCTCCTTGTTCGGGTCCACGGGCTGGTGACTGTTCTGCTCGACGGAAAAGGTCTCCGCCATGGGCGCGCAGATCAGCGTCGCGGCCAGGTCCTGCGCCAGGGGGCCGTTGCCCGCCTCGGTCTGGAGCTTCAGCTCCTCGATCAGGGCAGGTAACACACGTGACGCTCCCAGCATCCGCACGCCGGCGATCAGCTGGCGATGCGTGTACGGAGGAGGCGCCATGCTGACCTCTGGGTTTGTGCTCCAGAGCACCAGGGATTGGAACGTGCTGCGGATGCTGCCGAGCAGGCCGCCGCCGGAATGCGTCGTCCAACCCTCCAGTTCGGAGCGGTGGCTGCTGCCCACCCGCTGGAACGATAGGCACGGCTCCAGGGAGTCGAGAATCGGTTTTATGTCGGTGCGCGACGGGTGCCGCGTGCGGACATCTTTGAGCGGCTCTTCCAGCGTGCGAGCAGTAATGTTCAGCACAGTCCGGTGGATCTCTCTGGCTTCGCCGGAGATGGAACTCGGATTCACCAGGGAATGTAGCGCCTTCAGGGGGATTGAGGGGTCGAGTTCCGTCTCCCAGATATGGTTGCCCAACCACGTCAGCGCGAAGATAAGAGACGGTAACAGAAACGGCTCAAGCAGATCTACTGATGTCAGTATCTTTCCAGTAGTCCAGACCAATTAACATACATTCAAAGCCCCCTTTCAAAGTATCAAACTCGAGCTTTCCCGTCTCACATGCCTCCAGGCTCTGGCTGAACAGTGTAGCCACAAGCAGATAAAACTCTTGTGGACTGCACGCCGACATGGTCTCCTCACTGATGCCCTCGGCAATGAACAGAGCCGCAATCCACGAGCCCAGGTTCTTGTTCTGTTTCTCATCCAGAGCATCGAGTTTCTGGCTGCAGGATCCTCGCTCGAGCAGTCTCAGAACAAAGGAATCATTGCTTGAGATCCCGAGGTCCGCTGGTCGCAGATCAAACCGGTACTTGAAGGCCAGCACCAGCAGGAGAATGCTTCCAAACTCATCGTACACCGGTTGATTCTCGCCCTGATCCTCGTCCCAGTGCCACGAGTCCAGTAAAGCGCAGAGCGGCTGCAGAACCTGCTTTGGGTTTCGGAAAATCAAAACGACGTCCAGCGCCTGAGGTCGCCGAGACAGCGAATTGCAAATGTTCTTCAATGTCATGCTCTCTTTTTGGTTGCAGAGGTTATGCATGACCTGTCTTCATTAGCCGACGCCGTGCCAATCAAATTCTGACGCAAGAACGAACCTCCGTGATTGCCCCAATAATCGGACCTGCATTTCCCTCCATAGACTCAATCTCGTTGATCAACTGCTCCGCACGTTCAGGATTGGCGTTGATCTGAGACACCAGTTCGTCCTTGTTATACCCCACAGGAAGAGTTTGCATGGGATTCTCACCCAACAATCGTTCTATGCTGGATTCAGGTATCAGTTTGTGCGAGGCACAGGCAAACAAAAACTCCTGCCGCACGTCGGACAGCACCGTGTTGCCCTGCATTTCGAACATCTGCGAGAACGATGGGAAGGTGTTGGGGTCAAGTCGGCTCAATGCATGGCTGATGCACATTTCCATTGGGATGGAGACCATGGTCGACGCCAGCATGGCTGCAAAGAACGCGGGAAGCTTGTTGACCAAGAAGGAGCGAAAGACGAACATCGTTCGACTGGATTCATTACGATACATGCCGTTTGAGAGGACATCAAAAGCAGCGGTGAGGATTTCCTCAATGAGAGCTTCATAGTGTCCCTAATACATGTCAGCCGGCCTGCCTTACCTCCTAGGACATCACTGCACCTACCCCGTATCGATTGGCAAGATAGTTGATCAGCATACCATCATCCACTAGGGGCCGGCCCACGAGCTAAAAGGTCAGCTTGTACAGCTAGCGAGAAGAAAGGTACCTACCATTGCATTGATAAAGACGTAGAGACCTGCTCTCGAGTTGATGACCGGCCCATCCATGACGGACGCCTCAAATTGCAGAGCATTGACATTCATGTTTTCCATCATTGGAACATCCAGGGACTTTGGCGCCCGTTCGCCGTACAGATTGAATTCCTTCTGAAGACCATCCAACCTGTTACGCAGAGGCAACGACACCTCAACGCAAAGGGGGAGATATGCCGAGAGCGCTTGGCCCAGCTTGACCTTTAACCCTGCAGCGAGTGAGATCAACTAGGCCTATTCGGAAGTGACGAGAAAATACCTTCGTGTGAGTCAGCTGACAGAACCTCTAATCCCTTCCCAGTTCCAGATAGAGCAGCGAGGAGAATGCCCAACGATTCGAACAGCGACACCACATCCGGCGAACTCATCATTCCACTCGAGTGTTGACCGGGATCAAAATGGCTGTTGTGCCACGAGACAACCGCACGGATCCAGTCAATAATAGAAAAGAAAATTGCGATAGCTTCTGCGTTAGTTTTGGGAGTACTCCCCGTTGATACAGAGAGCATGGCATCTTGGATGACTCGAATATCAGTCATCAAAGTATAGCATTTGGACCCGTCCTTGCCCTCTGATGTAGGCAGTTGCGGCTTATCATGTATAGACGAGTATTTCAACAGAGAGGTCAACACAGTAGATGTCCTGACCCTGCCCATTCGGCACAGGCAGTCTATGTAGAGCGGGAGTAGTGGATCCCACTTGATCCGGGACTCGGACCGAGTCTGAAGCAGTGCATCAAGCAAGCCAGTTTCTGCAATCGGACATTTCTGCATCAGCAGTTTTGACAGATTTCTGAACTCGCTGGCATCGATTCGATGTATCAAACATTGATGGAAGAATGTTCCCCATTGGACCGGGGAGGTCATATTCTGGGAAGGTTCGATCATCCTGGCTTAAATTCAAACATAGCAGATTCGAGACGATGATGTATAAATAAGCATTTGATTATCCACACTGGTTCGTGGGAGACATTCTGCCTAGCTCCTTATACAGGTCTGGAGTATGTGGTGGAAACTTGAGCGTCATTATTTGTTTGGCTGGAACGGCCAGTCACATGATAGTTGTTGTCACATGACAAGACGGTGCTTGTCTTTACATGGATTAAGCATAGAAGAGATCAACAGAACAATAAGCATAAAGGTAGTATCTTTGACAAGGCAGATGGGGTTATGAGTGCCAAAGTTATCTGCATCTTTAGTAGCTTATTGAAGAGCATAATAATGTTAGTGTTCTGCTAGGGAAAACTGGAATATTCTACCAGTATATTTTTGACACCGTGAGGCGTCAGAACTATAATAGCCATGCACGATCAATGCTTAACACTATCGATAAACCACAGATAAACATATAGCAGAGAACACTACCATCAAAATGATCGAGCAATGTAACTTGTACTTCAGCTAGAGATTCCTATATCGAGGGCTAGCCAACCCACAAAGTCCACTAATATTCCCAGTCGTAAGGTACCACAACGCACGTAAGGACGTAAACTCCATGTTGTAATACTGGGAGAATTTGCATAATAAGTCGCAAAGAACATACTCGACAAGTATAGAGAGTATTTGCAAGTCAACCTGGATTAGGAGATCACCCTAATCACTAACATCAACAATCCCCAGCTAAGCACGAGATTGGCTCATGCCTTCCTGATCTAATAAAGCCTCCGGACAAATAACATCTCAGATCAGCCAGATGCTGGCACCAGGGCTAACCTAGTCCTTTACTCCCCGCCCAATCATGTGCGGATAATGGACATCCCTCTTTCAGTCCTGTAACTAACCTGCGATTGGAATTATCTAGAACTATCAACTATGGAGTACACTCAAATGCAAAGCCTATAAGTGACTTGCATGTCCTAACACGGGACGCGGCCCACAATCTCATTACAGAATAGGTAGGTCGTCAACAATCAATCAATCAATCGGTGGTGATACCCGGGGTCCAGAATTGAGTGTGACTGCTTGGGTTGGTTGGCGTAATTTGCAAGTCTCATGCAACACAGTTTTAGTTATTAGCATGCCATGACACTGTGTATGCCATCTCCGCGGACATTGGAGAATGAAGGAAGATAATTCCGAATAGTCAGAAACATCATTTACATCAGTACAAGACGGGTGAAGCCTGCAGGGCCTACGGAGTTAGTGGGGATGCGAATGGAGGCATTGCAATGTTTTACACGTACTCTGGGGAGGGGCACTTCATCCTGTATTTCGGCCGATACGTCGAATTTCCAACCTAGATAGAGTACCTAAGTAGACGGGTAAATCCTGACCAGAGGTATTGCGTAAAGTTGCAGATCTTTTGCAACCTCCGCGCCAACTTTGAGTAACTTCAATACCACCACTGTATTCTGACCACTAAAACTGCTGGACCCCGCCATTCAGCTAGCCACTCAACTGATGCCATTGGTTGCGTTGTTGAGCTATTAATGATGCAAACTCTTAAGTCTGGAAGACTCAAATACCCCTAAACATGGAACAGTGAGATAGAGTCTAGGTTGCCAGACAGACGCACGGTCCAACATATTGAATACCACCACTTCTCGGTATCGGTAAATATTAACCAATGTCAGATCATACCTACACATTGAATTCTCTTGAGCACTGATGATGCAGCTACACTCAAGCAGGTATCTATAGTTAAAATTCCGCCGGAAATCAAGTGGGTAACCGAAAACCAGAGTGAGATCTTGATAGCCCTATCGCTACCAGAGTTCCATTCGTCTCCACAAGCAAACCAAGGAATTGACCAAGTCCCCTCCCACGCCGTTCCCTGCGGGCGTCGTAATCACGGGTCACCGAGACAAACCAGTGGGGTCTCAGGTCGAGGGGTAATTGATGGACAGAAAAGCCTTCAAAAATCTGCCTTGGAAACTTGAGCAATAGTTCCATAATCGTTCTCCCAGGTCCAGACGCCTTCGCCCTAAAAGGTTTTGGCTCAGGGGGTTCTGGTCCGGGAGACTCCCGGTGGCCATAGCTTACCACGGCCTCGAACGCTGACTTTGTTCGGGCTGTAAGTCTTCAGGAGAATTCCTTGTGCAATCTCCAAAGACTCAAGTGGCTGGATCTACACAATGACGAAGCATTACATAGAAGAGACATTTCGATAATCGCTCATCTCGGTCGTTGGGTTGCCACTAGGGAAGAAACCTAGACGCGGGAAGCCACCTCCCATTCTCAATGTTATTTTCTTTTCAGACATCTGGAGTGTCCTTTCACAAGAATGATGCAAGGTAGTGTAGACGAAGCACATCGGTTTTCTGTCGCGCTCCAAGAAAACTTATGATCAGTGCGTGTGATCATCGTCTCCTGGCGGGGTCCAACTTCTCTGGATCGAACGAGTCTGTTGTGTATGGTATAACACCTTTTGAAGGGTAATAAACTCGAAGAGGTAATTCGATGGGAACGTAACATCGGACATTATCACCGTGGAGGTCACCCTCCTGAGCTCCGAGGACACGACATATGTGAAGAGGAATCTCGGAGAGCATCAGGAGCCCGGGGTCCAACCATCCAATCTTCCATTGCAAGCCACTCACTCCAACTTCTCTCCGCGGCCTCGATCTCGGAATCCACTGTCCCTTGCAGGGGCCGCAGGAAGGGAATGGTCTCCAAAGGAGGCATATCGTAATCTCTCTTAACGGCAGCCCAGCCGCCGCTCTTCGCAGCGAAGAGATAGTTGCGACGTTCCTGTTCGTGAAGATATCCAACGCCTGCGGTCCAGTCATCGCCGAAGAATCCTTGAAGGACCCCAGGAGAATCCATGCCCGTGGCTACTAGACGTCGAATATAGGGGATGAGTGACACAGAGGGGGCCGGATGCGGGGATGACTCTGAGACAGAAGACGTCAGTCCTGCAGAAGGTGTTGATGCTTCGCTCGAAGAGCTGGAGACAGGGTGCGGTATTCGTTGGAAAGGTAGACGAATGTTCAAAAACGCGCACAGTGCTTGAACGGTGACACTATGTTGTGCATGGTCTAGGAAGTACCGCTGGCAGTTCTGATAGTGGGGGTACCACTCGAAGATGTCAAAGGTGCCATGCGCTGCTTCCTGGGACGACCCAGAGAGGTCGATTATTGTGGCGGGATCGAATTGCTGAGCGGAGTCCATTTTGGCGGCCCCAGACAAGGGAGTTGACTGATCGGAAGGATTTCTGTGTAGAGAGTACCCGACTTAGCTCTAGGTCCCTATCTAGCCATTGGCCTGCTGGTCTTCGAAGAGACGAAGGAAATGCAAGAAGCTGCCACCGGTGATGATCTTTGCGCTTTCGAGCGTTTCCAGGAAACGCTCAGCTAGACGTAGAGAGGAGAGGGACAAGAACAAACAGGGGAGAGAATTACTTGTTCACAAAGACACTCCTACCTCGGCGGATCAGGAGAGACACCCTTCGTCGAGGAGACTCGGAGGGGGAAGATGTAGAGCGGAATAGGTTTCTAATGGCAAAACCTAGGCTTTTACCTTGGCCGGAATCGTTATCAGACATCTGCTAAGTGTGCTCCATCTAGAGACAAGATGATCTCTAGCTTATGCCATTAATGTAGTCGAACCGAGATTATTGAAAATCGAGTGTGTAGCGGGGAAACTGAGCCGACGAATGCTTCGGGGAGGACCGACCCATCGAGGATAGGAACCAGAAAGGACTATAGGTATACGTCGAGTAACAAATCGTTGCAACCAGGAGACCAGGAAGAAAAGAGAGAGAGAAGAAGAAATTGATGACAAAGGAGGCTGCGTGGGAAAAAAAGAAGCGGAGCTGGGACTCGCACTTGTATAACTAACCAGTTGAGAGCGAACAGAGCTGGAACGGGTCTACCCGATCAAGCAATTAGGACTGTTTATTCGAGGGCCCAATATAGAACAGTAAGTCCCTAAAATATTATTCGACCATGGAGACAGCTATCGTTCCAGCGATTCCATTTTCCGAGTACCTCTCTACATGTGGGTAATTAGAATTTTTATGGAGAAATGACAGGCCATAGTTAGCAAGGAAAACAACGGATGGCAGTTACAGCAGTTGATTGCACTGAGACATGGTAATTCGATTCAGATTGATCGGAACGAGACACTGGTCCATCGGACGTGGAGGCTCAGATCGATGCGAATCGAATCAGTGGATGCAAATGGGGGTGACCAGTGGCGAAAGAGCCATGTTCATCGCGTGTCCTTTCACTCCTGCTGGTGGATCCTAACAAATTGGCCCGGGTCAGAAATGAAACATCTCTGTCCAGCATCTGGAAGCGATGATAAGGAAGGCATTTCTATGGCTCAGACCTGGCCCCAAGGATCAATTGGATCAATTGGACCAAACTGTATTCGCAGGTTACCTAGAACTACCTTGTCTAGGTTGACTTTTACCGACTGGCTTTCTCTCATTCTGGTTGGTGTGTGATTGCTATTTGCAAAGTTTTGGGACTGGTACCCTGGTAATACCAAACTTACCCACAGGCAAGGTCCCTGTACCTGAGCCCACCTCCAACCTAAGGTAGGTAGCTCCTTCCCATTGGAGGAAGACCGAGGGAAAGTTGATACTTACCTTCCAGGCACTCGACTGCCCCTGTTTCTAAAGCAGCCTCCAAGATCCGAGATCGTCCAATCTAATCGATTCTATTTGAACTCTTAAATAACCTTGATAGTATCAACTTCATTCTGTCCATGACGGCCCCAGATCTTTCTATTGGGTTCCTTAAACGCCTACGAGTCATTGGGCATGCGGAAGAGCCACCGACATTTGCCAATGGCTAGAGATGCCTCTGGTACCTCAATCACTTCGAGACGCAATCAGCGGTGAGCATCTCAATACGAATCCCTCTAGTGGATCAGACTCAAGGACTTCTACCTCTAGCCATATATCAGGCCTGAACCGAACGACACATCATTTCTCCGCTCTCTATCGACACGGATCTGTCACACTGTGCATGACGTACAAATCTTGCACATCACCCATAATGCCCTAGGGTAGGCCTGAACGGCGAACCTGTAATCGACATTGCCTTGAACCTATGATAACAGCTTATTGCTGTTCATCACCATTAAAGCCAGTCAATCAAGTTTACCCGCATTCGCTACCATACTTCTGACGACAACACGCCTATCTCAACTAGTAGAACCATACATTCTTACACAACAACACGAAGGTGATCACGAAATGTTGAGATGAGCGGTGAGAGTGATACATCACCGCGACGTCTACGATGCAAGTAATATGCGCCAAGCCGGAAATTATCTTTCCAAGCAGAGATTCGTTCGCTGTGGTAGTGCAAAGCAGCTTCTAATAGTTCTAGCTCCGGTCCCGCCCTCGCAGGTGGGACGTGGCCATGCTTCTGGAATATCGGTGAGAATGTCTACTCGAGTTTGGAAGCCATCCTTCATACCATAACAGGCATTCTCTGCGAATTGCTTCAGAGCCAGGTTGCCATATAAATGATTGGTCGTTGTGCAGGAAAAGGAGATATGCAGGTTTACCGTTTGTACAACGCAATCCGCTATTCAGTTAGTTATCCCCTACCTGATATGTATTTCAGACCGATCAGATTGATCACATCGAGCAGATTCCTTAAGTATGCACGAGCTCCAATAGTGGGCCGCTTAGCCGCGCGATTCCAGGAATCTACCTGCATGAAGCGATCACCTACATTCTACTAAATAGTGACAGGTCTGGGACTCGACTCTGGGTATGTTGAGTCACCGGTCAGTCTAGCGAAGACCATATCGACAATCCCTACCTAGATTCGACAAACAATTAACACTTCATGCATGGTCCACGGGTGTAATATATTTCAGGCGTTTGAGTTGCAAATTACTGATACCTACGATACAGTACCGAGATTATTACCGGATCAACCTTCACTTGTCCACCTTGACAGGAACCACGGTCTTCCTCTTCACTAGAGAAGTTTGTTAAGTACCTTGCGACCATGGACTTAGACAATAACATCTGTCCATTGAGGGCTCTGGTAGGAACATACGGCCTCAGCTCTGCATGGATGTTGAACTCGGAGACACCGATACTGACGCCGCAGGATCTGCAATACGACGACACAGCCACAGGATCGTGGCTCGCACAGGTGGCTCGTGCATCATCAACTGTACCATCAAAGCCAATACTAGACTAGAAGGCATGTGGACGGTGTACACAGTACCCCTTAGTCTATGGAGTAGAGATGACATATTCACAGTCGTGGTGATATTATTTCAACGACTCTATCAGGATTGCAGTGGACATCCCTGCAACAATGCTGCATCGAGCTGCGATTGAGCAGTAAAGGAAGCAATGAGGTTGTCCATTGCAATATCCGTTACTCGATTGGCCTACCAGGAGAATCATTCCTTGTTTTGTATGCGGACGGATTGGAACCCAGGGGTTGGGTCGCATGAATTCGCCACCCCGTACCTGGTCGATAGACACTTGCGCAATGAGATTGGCGTACATCGAGGTCTCAGCTCGGTTCACCCCTTTCTGAGCGAGGAATAGGAGGATCGACAGGATGATGCGGTAGGAAGACTCGACTGTGTCTCCGTACATCGTGAGAGCTGTAAATAGATACTGGCGGTCACTCGATGTGTCTATGAGGATATGATAGGTATTATTATTGCGTCGAAATGCGGTTGTGTGGAAGGATACGAATACAGGATTGCCAATAGTCTGACATATCCTTCCCATGCTGCTCGTTCTGGCTCGCATGGCAGTGGGCTGTATTGCCATGTTATGGGCTGCCGGCGCCCCGTCAGTACCTGTTTCGGCTGAACTGGGTGGTGAAGGGGTGAGTGATCCAGTAATCTGCGTCCAGGGGCATGCATAGCAGTGTAGGAATGATGCAATGATCATTGCTTTGAAGTCATACGTGACATGCCATGTCTACGCCCCTATTGCAGGCCTCGGATCTGCTGGTCCTACTGTAATATCCCCAAGGAAGAAGAACAAACAGTCGAGGAGATCGGATATGTTCAGTTGCACTCTGTTCCTGTGCTCCTTAGTTCACTACTTTCTGACCCTGTTACCTGGTAAGGCATGCATTAGACAGGAGCTTGGCATGTGATCCTCCAGTATGGCCTAACATATGGAGTAGTCAGGTGGAGATGGTTCGTTAGTATGCGCTTCGTGTTGTGGTATTAGCTAGAGATTATCGACCTCGAGAACATCATAGACAGAGGAACTCGTCAAATCTGAGCAGTAATGATAATAGCCTAGTATCTGTGCCATACGCACCCACTCCGGCCCCATAACCGTTGATTGCACTGTAACTGTCAATTTTGAATATAATCATGATTTTGAGGCCACTAAGGGTTATGTATATACAAAAAATCGTTATTATCATCTACTGCCTCTGTTGATCCATTTGATACCATATTCCCTTGTGTAGGTTCTTGGGGTGGTGGTTGGGGGGGGGGGGGTGGGGTGTTTACCATGCACTTTCTCCCACAGCCTTTATAGACATCTCTCTTCTGCAGCAGCATCTTTGGCCTTCCTTGAAGCAATTGATCGATTTGCATCACGTAATTTTAATATACCATTCTGGCTAAGCGGCTTAACCTGCTGCTTAGTATATTAACGCTGTAGAGGGCCTGCGCGGCCCTGATTTGACTAATAGTTTCATTTGCCATAGCCAGGTGCTCAGCAGCAACTCAATTATGTTTAAATATCCTCAGCAACACATTTGATTGCTGTGATATTCTCTCCTCTTTCAGATTCTGCAAGTTCAGGGGCACTTTTTGAACCAATCACCTTCCTAAATCTGCCTTGCCAGGCTGGAAGCCGCATTCATTAAAGTTATATACTAACTGCTTTTTAACCATGTTTGCAAGCGAATTATACCAGTTCCCTAATAACCCTGCATCTTCAGCCTTGATATGCTTTGATTCCTTCATTTTTTACTTCATGGGGCCTAGATTGAGGTGTTCTGGGAGTCATTTCTTAAAGTGATATACCTAAGTCTTACCAACCTGTCTAGTTTTACCTGCGCGTTGAAATGCCTGATTTGCATACTCTTCTAGTAGCTTAGGCGTCACTAGCATGTTCCAATCTTGCATACAGACTATCCACTGTATGAAAGCAGCCTCCTGGTATTCCTTAAGAGCTTTATTAACTGGTTTTCTGGCTGTTTGAGGTTGCGCGCCGTTCTTAACGCGATCATGTAGGGTCCTAATAGGAACACCATATTCACGCGCAATCTTGGAGATATTCGGGCTTTTCTTTTGAGCCTGAGCAGTTTCGCGGGCCAAAAGGAGGTCAGATTCAATAAAATTAGTAGATTTAGGCATGTTTGGTGGATGGAATGGCTTCATATGTGATATTATTCAAAATTGACGGTTACGGTGCAATTGACGGTTATGATGCAGCGCGGTGAGGGGCGCGTAGGCACGGAGAGGGATAAGCGAGGAGTCATGTATTGTCCATCGGGGAGCCATTGTCAGATAAGTTTCCGGATCGTCAATCGAATGCCGGGGAAGGGGAACTATCTATCAATGACTATTCCAGTGATGTACCAAACTTCGGAGAACGAGACTTACTCCGAAGTGACAGCCTAAGGCATGCAAGGTTACTTTGTTGCAGCCCAGGCAATCATCCATCTTGGCGCCCATAGTCCGATCTATCCGAGAGCGGAGTTGACACCGAGTCCCCGAGGGCTGCTATGTTGCAATTTGCATTTCATTTACCCGCCCCAGGCGACATTGCAGTGTCTGGCAGTCTGATTCTGAGACTCATACAGTCACAAATGACGAATTATATGGCAATTCTAATTTCCCCGCGTGAGAGGTGATGTGCGAGGATAATACGTACTCTGGAGGGGGCCGTCTCGGCCGTATGAGCACGGTGCAGCCCAACCCCACGGCATGCGGATGGCCCACGCTTCACCGGTAGACCGGGGAATCCCGATTGCAGTGTTTCATCTATGATTTTCCCCCAATTATCGGGCTCTTGCTTATTCTGTAGAATAACTACACATACCTTCCTAGAAACGCAGTTCAATGTTGAATTACTTAGTAGTACAAAGAGGCTGGGATACTCCTCCTCATTGTGTGGACGGCTTTCCTCCTGGTACTGTCACCCACGTTCGGATTGGTTTCTCCCGATAGCACTTTAGAATAGAGTAAAGGTAGTAATGAATCAGATGAGGGGTACCTTATTACCTAGAGGCCAAGGTGGCAGACGAGCTGTAGACTAAAGCGGTTAGTGGGAGCTGATAATCAGGTAAAACGATCAGATAAGATTCCTGATGGAGTCGGCGGAACTGCCAGGGACGCGACCTGATTGGGTTATTCCACACGTGATGCGCTGACAGATCATGAATGTGGTTGGTGAGAGTCAGTGGCCACCAAAGCTTGGCATGACTGGACGATCGCTAAATCTCCTTAGCAATTCTTACGGTTGGAGAGATAAGAGAAACGGGGTTTAGAATTATCCGATCCTGTCAATAATAAGAATAATGATCTGGCATTTCCAAATTAAATCCCATAACGGCAGCGATATGGAACGAGAAAATCTCTGACCGGTGGCCACGCCCACGATGATTTCCCGGAACCCGAAAGCGGACAGGCTTGGGCGGGTTTCCGCCGATAGATAAGCAGCCTGCAATCTGTGACCTTAAAGTATCGAATAACACTTTACCTCCACCCGAACTTCGGAAGTTTCCCCTGTCCAATCATCGTCCTTTTCCTTTTGTTCTGGCAGTGTTTCCTCCCAATCCCGGCCTTGTATGCCGGCAATTCTACTGCTGATCTCGCCCCCTCGTTGGTCCCTGCACCTATCTGTATGCTGTCCTCCCACTCGTCCGACTCCGGCATCCCTCTTTCGCCGTCCTCCGCTGCCCCTCGCACCCCTCCTACTGTGTCGTCCATCTCCAGCATAAATACATCTCCACGCGCTCTTGTTCTTCGCTTCTTCTCGCTCAGTCACTCATCTCATCATCTCTTCCTTCCTATTGTCTCTTCCATAGACTGTTAATCGCCAGTCGCCACTTGACCTTTTCCAGAGACAAATACCATCTAAAACCATATTCAAAATGTCCAACCTTCCTCACGAGCCCGAGTTCGAGCAGGCCTACAAGGGTATGTTACACAATCTCACGTTTTGATGTGGCTTCTGGATGGATGATTCTAACAAGTGAATACAGAGCTTGCCTCTACCCTTGAGAACTCGACTCTCTTCGAGAAGAACCCTGAATACCGCAAGGCTCTCGCCGTTGTCTCCGTCCCCGAGCGTGTGGTTCAGTTCCGTGTCGTCTGGGAGGATGACAACCACCAGGTTCAGATCAACCGTGGATTCCGTGTCCAGTTCAACTCCGCTCTCGGCCCCTACAAGGGTGGTCTCCGTTTCCACCCCTCCGTCAACCTGTCCATCCTGAAGTTCCTTGGTTTCGAACAGATCTTCAAGAATGCTCTGACCGGTCTGAACATGGGTGGTGGTAAGGGTGGTTCCGACTTCGACCCCAAGGGCAAGTCCGACAACGAGATCCGTCGCTTCTGCGTTGCCTTCATGACCGAGCTGTCCAAGCACATTGGCGCCGACACCGACGTCCCCGCCGGTGACATTGGTGTCACCGGCCGTGAGATCGGTTTCCTCTTCGGCCAGTACCGCAAGATCCGCAACCAGTGGGAGGGTGTCCTCACCGGCAAGGGCGGCAGCTGGGGTGGTTCTCTGATCCGTCCCGAGGCCACCGGCTACGGTGTCGTCTACTACGTCGACCACATGATCAAGTATGCCACCAAGGGCGCCGAGTCCTTTGCCGGCAAGCGCGTCGCCATCTCCGGTTCCGGGAACGTCGCCCAGTTCGCTGCCCTCAAGGTCATCGAGCTCGGCGGTTCCGTCGTCTCCCTGTCCGACAGCAAGGGCTCCCTGATCGTCAACGGCGAGGGCAGCTTCACCCCCGCCGAGATCGACATCATCGCCCAGCTCAAGGTCGACCGCAAGCAGCTGTCCGAGGTCGCTACCACCGAGGCCTTTGCCTCCAAGTTCAAGTACATCGAGGGCGCCCGCCCCTGGGTCCACGTCGGCAAGGTCGACGTCGCCCTCCCCTCCGCCACCCAGAACGAGGTCTCCGGCGAGGAGGCCCAGGCCCTGATCGACGCCGGCTGCAAGTTCATCGCCGAGGGCTCCAACATGGGCTGCACCCAGGCCGCCATCGACATCTTCGAGGCCCACCGCCTGGCCAACCCCGGCGCCGCCGCCATCTGGTACGCCCCGGCAAGGCCGCCAACGCCGGCGGTGTCGCCGTCTCCGGCCTCGAGATGGCCCAGAACTCCGCCCGCATCAGCTGGTCCGCCGAGGAGGTCGACTCCCGCCTCAAGGGCATCATGGAGTCCTGCTTCCGCAACGGTCTCGACACCGCTGTCAAGTACGCCACTCCCGCCGAGGGCGTCCTGCCTTCCCTGGTCACCGGTAGCAACATCGCTGGTTTCACCAAGGTTGCCGAGGCCATGAAGGAGCAGGGTGACTGGTGGTAAACATATCACCCCACTCACATCTCCACATTATGATGACGAACTTTTTTCTGAGCGATTACCCCTTTTTTTTTCTTTTCTTTTCCTCTCTTCTTGGTTGATCCCAAGCGCATTGAATTTGGACGATAGAGGCGCCGGGTTTCGGGTATTCGGATTTCATTCTTGTATAAACTTCTCATGATTTAGAGCATTAGCATATATCATGATTCAATATATACCATTATCAAAATTATTTTTCCACCCTTCAAGCTCGCATTGTAACTTGTAACTCTTGTACCTAAAAATAATGCAGGCAGAAGAGAATGAAGTTGATTAAGACATGTATCATTAGTATTGGAATAGATTACAAGTAAATATCGTTAGTGGTCTTTCACATACCAGGCACCATCCCTCATCTACCTACCCGGAGTAAAATACTGACAAAACTGCCGCCCTCAGGTATCGAATATACATATATGCACCCCATGAACATATGATAGCCCCGTTTGTCACTCGGAACACCGTCGCTAAATGCTCAAAAAAAAAGGTATTAAACAAGACTATAGGAGAATTTTTTGTTCCAAATCGACCAAGGTTGGGTATCATGCAGGATAACGGAAATGCAAAAAAAATATACAAGGGTCATGATTCCGGCCAGGGGCGAGGTCGTGCATGAGTCCGCCGCCGCTCCTGGCTGATGATGACGATGACTGCTTCTTTGGAGGGTTCGTTCTGCCCGGGCTCGACACCGGAGAATAAGTTGTTTCGGGGAGGTTGACAGTAGGAAGTGGATCGTTCAGGACGCTGCGACGGCGCGACAAGACGCCGCCAACTGATGGGTTATCCTTCTCGCGGGGAACGCGAGCGAGGGTGTTGTTCGGGGCCACGCGGCTACGACGACGGCGGTGACGGCGGAGATACTCGTTGGGCACCGGGTCGACCTGCTTCTTGGCGGCAGGGACAAAGTTCAAGTACAAGGGAAAGATAGCGCCGGCGCAGAATAGCGCAACAAGAACGCTGTACGAGTAGGAAACACCCCCGCAAGCTGGGCGGCGTACTGCGCGAAGGGAAAGAAAACCCCACCGCTGATGGCCGTGGCCAGCAGCGAAGCAGCCGTCTTCGTATGACGGGCGGTGCCACGGAGGGACAGGGCAAAAATTGTGCTGAATGCGCCGCTCTCAAAGAGGTAGACCATCAGACTCATGGCGACCGCCGTGGAGCCGGTTGTCTTCATGCATAGCACTGCAAACACAATCATGCCAATGTACGAAAGCATCAGAACCCATCGTGGTTTCAGGAACCACTGCATGAAGGCAGTCAGGAACCGCCCAACCGCAAAGACGGTGTGTCCGATCGTCAAGTATTCGAAAGCGCCTAGGCTGGAGCTACAACCGGGTTAGCGGTCTGGGCTAGTCATCGAATGCAGCGGAGGGGAATTCTTACCTTGAATTCGCAGCAACGACAAAGGAATCAAAACTCTGCGAAAGAACTTCTTGGCCTGCCACATAGAAGAATTGGGAAAACACCCCAAGCCCCAGGGTCAACCAAACCACAGGCACTCCGAGCACTTTGGTCATATTATCCTCGCGGCGACGGTCGGCTAGTTCCTCCAAATCTTCATCGGACGCCTCGGGGATGGGCATATAGTAGAAGGCCACGGCTAGGAGCACGTCGAACAGAGCGATGCCCAAGTAGGTCCATTGGACGTCCACCAGGGATCCCACATCAGTGACCTGTTTGAACAAGACCTTTTTGGCCAGAAGAGGCGAAACAACGCTTCCAATGGCCTGCACGCCCTGCGAGATATTGAGACGGATTTCGGAGTTTTCCAGCGGCCCGCAGAGAGCAATGAACGGATTGGCGGCCGTCTCCAACACAGCCAGGCCGAAGCCTACGATGAAATTCGAGACTGTAAAAGCAGAATACGAGGTCAATACGGCCGAGGGCCAGAAGATGAGCGTCCCACACGCATAGATGCATAGGCCCGTTATAAATGTCGACTTGAACCCCCATCGCTTCAGCACAGTTCGACCGACCAGTGGTGGGCCCACCAAGTACCCACCAAAGTATACAGCATGAAGACCCAGCGAGCGCCACGAATCCAGGCGGACGATCTGCTGAAATTGAGAGTTCAAAATGTCCAGTAGCCCATACGCGAAGCCCCACATAAAGAAAAGGATGGTCGTCAGTGCGTTCGGGGCGATCGATTCTTTGTTCGTCAATTTGAGCATGCTGGGCGGGTTGTTCATGTTCACAAAGTCGAAAAAGGTGATACTGTGCGGAGAAGACGTGCTGGTCAGGGTAGCCGTATTGGCTTCCGTATCGTGACGGACCGATTCGGGAGACGTCAAGAACTCCATCATGTCCATGGACCGTGGTTGCGTTCCTCGGGCGTCAGCGACACTACCACTGCTACGGCTTCCTGACCGTGATGGTTTATTCCGGGTGCTGCCGGATTGCGAAGGCGACGGCGGTACATTGACAGGGACCGCGACAGCTCCCTGGGACAAGGCGGCAGGAGGTTCGACCGAGGGAGGATGATTCAAATCAGCCGTGTTCGGAGTGTTCTCGTCCGTGTCTCTGATCAACTTCGGGATGAGACGAGCCACAAGGGGCTTTAGACTGGGGACACACGCGCACATGACCGACACGTTGACTTCGACAACCGACCACATGAACGAGAGAGATGCATACCCTAGATGTGCCGTCAGTGATCCTACGAAAACTCGGCGGATAGGTTGGAAGTCATACAGCTAAAATCGTCGCCCGAGGCAGATTGATAATGGAGATCTTTGACCGCGATCCGACGGGATGTGGCCGCATCCTGGATGTAGGCGATTCGGATCACGTCGACCACGGCCACGAAGAAACCGAAGCTAAAGGTGATAACCAGGATAATCTTCTGTTTGCGAGGTAGGCGCATCTGCGTCAAAATCGGGTTTGGGATGAACAAGATGGCTAAATCAGTAATGATGTTGACCGGCGAGGAAGAAAGGTATAAAGTGAGGACATCGATGCATTGCGCGTCCGGCGGCAAAGGATACGAGTACGCAGCGTGCACCGGATGACATTGAAAGACGTTGACGAGAGTGAGGGCCAAGCCAGCTGCATTGACGGCAAAGAGAGTCACGTAATTGGCCCAGCGAAAGACCTTTTCGCCCTTGGTCAAGGTCAGGTAGAAGACGAGGATGGAAGTTTTGACAGCCATCAACGCAGGATTCTAGGGTATGGTATCAGCGACAGCCATTCGTGCATTCTGGGGACCAGATCACTCACGTAGAGGACGGTAAAGGCATAGTCGGCACGGTTGAGACCGGTTCGATCATCGGGTGGGATATCATAGTCGTGAAGACCCAGACCCTTGCTGGTCGCGTAGAAGAGCGAGAACGAGAAGCCAAAGTCGATCAACTGAGAATGATTAGCGGCTTTCCCATGCAACCAGGAAAGTGTCGAGAACTGCGGAACGCCTCAAAGAGTGCGCGACATACCCAAGCCAGGAGCATCAGATAGTCATGCAGGCCAACCCTCCGCACGACGAAGATCCGCGACACGAATCGCAGAGCTACAAAGACAGTCGCGAGAGCGAAAAATATGATCGAGACGACCAGTACCTCTGGTCTGCGATCCGCCATGCTGGACGAACAAGCACAGACCAGTTGAAGCCTGTCCTCTGGCCTCCGGACCCAGAACCAACCCACGAAGATTTCAGACCCGCTTCAAAAGCGATCTATAGAATTAAGCTCCCAGACGGAGGATATATGTTCAAGACTCGACTGCAAAACGACCCCATTGTCACCGAATCGCAAGTTCGGAAGGGGGAAAGCGGAACGACTGGCCAGCAGTTGAGGAAATCCGAAGACGGCGAAGAGCGTAGAACTTAATGACTTTGAAAAGTGGTCGCGGGTCCAAAGGAAGGGCGGAGAAGAAGCGGAAGGTGACGAAGACGCCGAGGAAAGAGTGCAAAAGAGGAATTGGACTGAGGTTGGAATGAGCAATAATAACAGATGGGATGCGAAGAGATCGATGAGATTGAGAGAATGGGAAATTGAGGAAAAGAAAGTCAAGTCGACCAAGAGAAATGACGGGTAGAGAGAAGATTCTGGGGATGTGAGGGGGGAAATACTAAGAGGGATTTCCTCAAGCGGAGAGAGGTGGTAATTGGTAGGTATTGGTAGTACTTAGTCAACAGCAACTTTATTTGTGTGGCTCGCGTGGGTCGGCAGAACCATACCTATGTATGTATATAGGGATAAGACAGTCTATATAATTGATGCTATTAACGAGATGATCTTCTCGAGACAAATAGATAGCAGTTGTTTTTCTTTTGGTGAAGAGGAAAAAACATCGGATTCTTGAATATTGACCATCCTGATGGGGAATAGGACAATAACAATATTTCTGGGCATGCAGGGAAGGGGAAAAAAACCATGGAAGGGCGATCGTCGGAATGTGAGCCGCATATTTGTCATTCTTTATGATGAGCATTGATCATTTCTGTATGAATTGCTCGCGAGGTGGTGATAGGGAGGTACTTTTGTTATAGAATTCTCCATCCTAAGTTCCTAACGTAGACTGTCTACCTCAAGCTAAGTACCAGAATGATGCCTGACTTTCTAAGGAATTATTATTGCCATGTCACCAAATAATCATAAGGTGATAATAATAATAATAATGGAAATATCTACTTCTCTATACCATCGACGTAATGATGAGCCATGTCTCAGATCCTTCAACCTTTCAAAAGGCTTCATCTCCAACAATCTTTCCCACGCTCTGAACTAGTCTACCCCAGTTATTGCTTTCTCTCAATAACCCATGCGGCCTTTTCCGTTTCCATGGAGCCGTTGAAGTTTCACTTGTTGCATGTTATGGAACCAACGCCTCCCTCATCGTTACTCGTCCATGATCCATCAGCCACAGGAAACTGACGAATCTGTCCCATCAAACTGGACTCGAATCGCAGAGGAAACCTTAATATTGATCTTCTTGTTCCAGGGGAAGATCATCGTTCCCCTCTTTCCAGCAATCCGGATCATCCACTTGGATCTGCTGCGCTTCGGAACAAAACTCCCTTGCAGATTATTGAATGATCTCTGGGTACTCAGGGATGGAAGCAACATATGCAGGACTAGATGAAGGTTGAGTTTCGAGTATAACTCATCATTAAGATTATGGATATGGATCGGTTTCATCGAGTAGGTGAGTCCGCCTTGATGCCTTGGAAGCCAGGTTGGTAATTTTCAAACTCAAGGGCCGGTATTGAGTCGATTTCATTGCCTAGTGATTTGGTCAATAGCATCTGATATACTCTCATCAGCATTATCTATGCCTCATTAAACAAATGCTTCTGGTCTTGCTGTAGATGGCGGACATTTCTCTAAAGACCGCATATCGGTCGCTTGGACGATATGTTCATCCCATCACTCCTCGACGACCAGGGAATTCTCCTCTCCTTCACATACAACATCGCAGTCTAGATCAATCATCTGATTACTATTAGTCATGAATCTGCGATGAAGATGCAGAGATCCTCGCTTAACCTCGAGATGCGACTTTAATGTGGAGACTGTCTCCTACCCCCGCATGTTGTTTCCCATCACATGGCTGCTACGCTGCTATTAATCTCGACTTCCCAGCTTAATCGACTCTCTACCTCCGAGGGAACCAAGACTTATCGATGTAACCTCTGCGCTCTTCACAGCTATGATCTGTGCCGGATTCCGTCGGCCTGCAGAATTCTGTGGGCGAGTTTCTGCAGAGACGCTGCTAAACGAGGCTCCACCTGGACTGACAGCCATCTATAAGATGACGGCCTGCTCAGCTGAAATCTCTTGCCATAAGCAGGGATCCGCGCCTGGAATATTCGGGCTAACTTGCTTGGACAGCTTGGATCAGAATGAGATTGACCACTTTTGTTGCTGCTCTCGCCTCACTGGCTACCATTCGCGGCGCCTCTGGCGAGAACTGGGCCAACACGATTTGGGATGAAATCAAAGAGACAATCACCTGTGCTGGTTGCGAGGTCTGTTCTCAACTACAAGCCTCGAGAAATCTGGATAGCGATTGATCTGTGACAGGGACTCTTGGGAACTCTCAAGCTGGTCGCTGGTCTCGGACCAAATGTCTTGATCAATGTCCTGACCGATGTGTGCAAGCTGGCCAAGGTATGTCATTGTCAAGCATAGCTGATGAGACTTTGGCATCCAAAAAAAAAAAAAAAACTGACTGCTCTGTCAGGTAGAGGACCCCGACGTCTGCGCCGGTATCATCAGAGCCGAAGGTCCTGCCGCATATTACGTGCTTAAGCAGCTCAAAGTGGGCTCGCATACCTCGAAATCGTTCTGTTCGCAGATGGTTGGCCTCTGCGACTATCCCGAGGTTCGACCGTACAACATCTCCTTTCCCGTCCCCAAACCCTCGACGCATCGGCCCCCTCCGAGCGGCCAGCCACCGATCCGGGTCGCGCATATCAGCGACACGCACGTGGATCGCGCTTACGAGACCGGCGCCAACTACGAATGCTCGAAGCCAATCTGCTGCCGTGCGTATACCGAGAATGACGCCCCCGGAAAGACCTCGTTCCCCTGTGGTCCATACGGCCATCCCAAATGCGACCCGCCGCTTAGGCTCGAGGAGAGCATGATGGCCGCCATCGCCGCCATGAACCCGGCCTTTTCCATTTACACGGGGGACGTGGTCCCCCATGATGTTTGGTCCGTCAACCAGACCGAAGTACTGCACGATCTCAACGCGACATACAGCCTCCTGGACCAACTGGGTCTTGTCTACGCCGCTCTGGGCAACCACGACACTGCGCCCGTCAACCTCTTCCCCTCCGAGCGCATTCCCGTCTCTCACAACCCGCAATGGGCCTACGACGCCCTTGCCGAAGGCTGGACGAACCTGGTGGGCGGTCCGCTATCCGCGCCTGTCGTGCACGCGACCGACCAGTTCGGATCCTACTCGGCCATCCACCCGGGAGGCAAGCTGCGCATCATCTCATATAACAGCGTCTTCTACTACACGTACAACTTCTACGCCTACCAGGAACCGATGGAGTACGATCCGAACGGGCAACTCGCCTGGCTCATCTCCGAGCTGCAGGCCGCTGAGACGGCGGGCCAGCGCGTCTGGCTCATCGCGCACATCCCCACGGGCGGTACCGACACCCTGCACGACTACTCGCACTACCTCGACCAGATCATCCAGCGGTACGACGCGACCATCGCCGCCCTGTTCTTCGGCCACACGCACACCGACCTCTTCCAGGTCTCCTACGCCGACCCGGCGCACCCAAGCGCGGACTCCGCCTCCGCCGTCGGGTACATCACCCCCTCGCTGACCCCGACCTCGGGACCCCAGCCTTCCGCCTCTACGACATCGACCCGGTAACCTTCGCCGTGCTAGACTACACCGTCTACACCGCCAACATCTCCACCGAGACCAACCCGAATGGAACAAATACTACTCCGCCAAGGAAAGCTACGGCGCCCTCCTCAGCCCACCCCTCACCGACCCAACCGCAGAACTTACCCCGGCCTTCTGGCACAACGTCACGGCCCTCATGGAAACCGACAACTCCGTCTTCCAGGCGTGGTGGGCGCGCACAACCCGCGGGTTCAACGTGCCCGAATGCAACGCGCAGTGCGCTCGCGACCAGATCTGCTCGCTGCGGGCTGCAGATGCGCAGTACGGCTGTGTGCGCGGCACCCTGTCCATTACCAAGCGCGATGGCCTGAACCTCGGCGGTGCTGCCCCTGCCCCTGGCTCGCAAGTGCACGTGCATTCCGCTCGGCCGCAGTGCGAGGAGGGCGGGCTGGCGAGGGTGTTGGCGGCCGTGATACGCGAGACGGACGACTTGCAGGCGTTGCTTTTGCAGCGGGCTGAATTGTATATCTAATTTGTTCCATTGTCTACGTATAGAACTCTATGGAGGACTAGGTAGTATCTACTCCGTAGTACCTCCGGAGTACGGAGATTCGCACGTGATCGTCGAGATTAGACATGGTGATCATGCCCCTGATGGTCAATATGAGAAGGGCTGTAAAGCGGCCTAGCCCTCGCAAATAAGACCTAAATAGGCTTAACAGGTTACAATTCAAGGCTAAGGTCAGGTGAAAAAGCTGTTGCCTAAACTAAAGAACAAACTTTTCTATCATTGTTCGTAAACGGTAAACCATAGCCCCTAATCTAAGAATAAACTGCCGTTCGTTGGATATGATGATGGGCGGAATTTCCTGATTCTCGTCCAATCGTATCGCAACCTGTTGCGCCTAGACCTCCCGTGTCTCTGTGTTTTTCCCGTGCCGTTGATCTGATCGTGGTCGTCGTAGAAGAAAAAAAAAAAAGGAGAACAAAGGACTGCAGTTGCCATTCCGAGCTGGCCGGAAATGCAAGCAATTGCGTGTTCGTATTGGCTGCTTCCTCGCTTGTCTCATTGCAGCAAGAAGAAAAAAAAAAGAATTTGGCTCTTGAAAAAGATGACCAACATCTTATGAACATAAACCGATCCACGAGGCCAATGTGGCTCATGGATTCGTCTTGGTATAAAAAGGTCAAAAGAGCGAGTGGAAGAAGATAAGTTTAAGAAGCGGAGGGAAGAAAAGATTGTCCCAAAGTCCGAACACGTTACAGTCCTTTAATTCAAGAAAGCGATCAACGCTTTAGTTGAAGTACCACGACATGCCGCTGATACGGCCCGCACCGAAATCAGCCAGCTCGCCGAACAAGTGCCGGGACGCGTCTAGATCGGTGGGCGCGCAGCCCATGCACTTGTCCACGGCGGTAGCGGTCTTGGTGATACCGTTGTAGGTGATGGTCACGGTCTTGCCGCAGTCACCGTCGGTCATAATGCCCACGGGAAGCGCGACCACATTCTCGGAAAAGCCGTCGTTGGTCAAACCGCAGCTGCTGGGAGCGCTGGCGGAGGTAGCCGTGTCGTAGAACGTGAGCTGGCCAACGCAGGGGGAGTCCTTGGAGCAGGGGCCACTGTATCCGCTGCTGGCGGCTTTTTCAGTGCTGCCGCTGTTGCCGCTGTTAGCAGCTGGCGGGGGGGACGGGGCAGCCTGGGAAGTAGTAGAAGTGGAAGGAGCCGCGGGCGCAGGCTGAGGAGCCGGCTCTTCAGGGGCGGGAGCAGCAGGAGCAGCCGCAGCAGCAGCGACAGGGGTGGATGCAGCGACAGAAGGCTGGGTCGGCTGAGGCTCAGGGGTCTCGGGCTGTGTAGAGGCCTCGATCGGCTTGGGCTGCTCGGGAGCAGCTGACGGGGTCGGGGTCGGGGTAGACTCAACGACAGGGGGAGTGGGAGCCTGCGGAGTAGGGTAGATGGTAGTGGTCACATCGACGGTGGTCCAGACGACAGTCGTGACCGTTGTCCACACCACGTCCACTTCACGCTTGTTAAGATCGACAGGGGCGGCCGAGCTGATGGCAGCGAAAAGAGCGCTAGCGAGCGCAAGAGGCTTGAAGATGGGAGCCATTGCGAGAGTATATGATTCAACGCGATTGTTCTTTTGTAGAGAAGGTGGTTTATCGAATTTATCGACTGGGTTTTTGATAGATCGATTGAGTGAAGGAAGGAATGCGGTTCAGTCAGATAGACAGACAGAGACTGCGCAGCAGTATGAAGAATTGACTGATGCTCCAAGAGAAGGCTGGAGGCTGGAGACTGGAATGAAGGAACGACAGGAAGCTGTCAAAGGGAAGGACTGTGGTGGTAGACGAAGGGGAGAAGAGAGAGGGAAATTGGCGCGGAGGGAGGAATTCAGTATTTAAGAGAATCCACCTGGGAATGGACCAGCAAGTCGCCATGTCTTCCACGCATCGAGAGTCGAGACTCTCCAACAGTTGTCAGACTAACCAGAACAGGGTAGAGCAGGGTAACTGTTAGCCTCTCACTAAGGGACATCCTACTAACTAACCAAGGTAGGTCTAAGGGTTTTGGTAAGTGAAAATGAGGAATACTCTCTTTACCCCCACAAAAATAATACTTATTTACTGATTATTATCTGCGGGCCCAGTGGGTCCGTGGGCCAGTCATAAAATTTATGGATACTGGCCAGCATGGGATGAACCCATGGATCATAACCTGTCTGCAATGTGTCCGTGAGCTTTGCTGGACAAATCAGACTGCTTTCTAAGGTTGTCTGGTCCCACCCACCCACCGTTCTCTTCCTGTTGGAGGTGAGATACAGGTACCGTAGGTAATACCATGAAGTGGTTGCCAGCATTCTTGGGCCGGGCCGTTTCCCAGTAATAGGTTGGTCTGGTTTCTGGTCATATGGGGAGAGCTTGCAACCTTGGGACATCAGTCAAACTGGCCAGCTCACCGATGGTACCTGACTCTGCCGACCAACACATCGACCGGACACTTTCTGATCGGTCGATGCTTACCAGTAAGATGCCATAATGACGTGTGATTGGGATGAAATTTCAGGCTGAGCGGGTACCTGAATTTTGAGGCGTTGGAAATGGGGAGCGATTGGCTGATTAGCTCAAAGGGAAAGCCGCCGGTGAGGCACCCCTGCTTGGTGTTAACTCTCCTTAACTCTAAGCCTAATAAAGCTAGGAGTGGTAAGCTTACAGTGTATGATTGGCTGATTGAGGCAACTACGTCGCCTCTGTTTTCCGCTAACAAAGACTTCCCCTTCGGTGCCTGAATCTGGATGCGCCTCAGCCTCAGCCACAATCCTTTCGCACAATAATGAAACATGGGAGGCTGTGTATGATCTTTTTTTGTTCTCGACATGAATCAAATCTGTAACTTGCTTGATGTTGGACCGGACAAGAGACTCTTTTTCCGTACAACCCGAGTCAATCTCTGAAAAGATGAGGTCTCAGATCTCCACCACCAGGGCCCAGGGATACGAACCCGACCACTCGTAATGAGGCAAACAGCAGAACCAACGACAAGAAGATCCGATTCGTATCCGGCCACTTTTTCGACCGTCTGACATGTGTTCTTAGGTGGTCCCTGTACAACCCGGGAGTATTGGTCAGGTACGAGACACTGTGCACGCCACCCAGGCACACCAGCCCAACACTGGCTGCCACTTGCCAATTGAGAAAACAACGCAGCAGCAACCAGCGTGATTTGCGGATGTAACCGATGAACTGGCTCGATTTCGCAGACTCATCGTCATCCTTACTACATTTTTTCGACCGGTGGCATCCGGGCTCTGGAATCAGGACTTTGACAACACAACTGTCCAATAAGGCTATTCAGTCCCCCTGGCGGGACTGTCGGACTTTGACCGGGACTGTTGATAGGCAGACTACCCTTGACAAAGAGGAAGAAATGGTTTGATTCTCACAAGTCTCGACTCAGATTAATGATTATTCCACGCTCGTTCAGTATGTAATTCTTGAATTTTTTATTTTCTAAATTTTTTTCCCTTAAGAGGAGGTGGAGAGGGGCAGGGGGGTTGTGTGTGTCTGTGTGTCTCTTTGTAGCAACTCTACACCCTACAGATCCCGAGAGTGACGATATCCCAGTCATGTTGCCCCTCATCAAAGAAAAGAGAACGACTCTCCACCGGATCTGTCCTGTCTGTCTGTGGCAACTGTTAACCAACTGGACTGGCCAGATTCCCGAGCCTTGACCTCCGGGCCGTTTATGGCAGAAAAATCTAGACGGTCTAGCGTCGAGTCTGGACACTCGTCCCTGCAGCTCTTAATTAAATCGACCAAGCTTCAGGATTTGTGATCCATCAGCATTGTCTGAGTATGTAGATTTCTGGCTGGATTACGGAGTACTGAGGTACTAATTCCCTAGGAGCCACTCGCTTGATCCGTACTCGGTAGTTCCAGTCTGCCCTCAGTGGCTATTTGCACGATTGGATGCAAAATCCTTCCACTTCATATTCCGAGCATCCCATCGTTGTTGACCCACTCCATCTATTGACACATCATTACTTAAGAATATGAGGACAAAAGAGGAAAGAGTATGTCATGGACTTGGAAAAAATTCATTCCTATTCATCCGAGTCAAGACACGACAACATACTGCACCGTAACAGTCGGCCAGTCAGGATCTAAGTACACGAAAACCCTTTTTCCTCCAAACAAACAGCATATGAAGAGTAACATGAAAAGTTGCCAGTATTGCCAGGGAAGAGCGAACATAAGAAAAGTCCATCAAGCTCATAATATAAATACATCAGAAACTGTACCAAATAAGAAGCGCCTCAAGCGCCTGCAATCAATTACCATAAACCACCCCGACTAGCCTTGGCACATCAGACAAGCCTCCTTGTTCTCGATGCTGCACTGAAGGACCTTTTGAGAGTAAATGTCGCTCTCACGCTCGCCGCTCTCCCGCTCATCGTCTTCCTCCTGGGAGCCATTCACCACGGTTTCATCATCTGCGGTGACATCGGCGGCAAGAGCTCGCGGGCTGCCGTCCTCGCTGTGACCATTGAGCGGAGCGCTCGTTGTACGAGGAACAGCAGAGTATGTGGTAGAGACGGACCCAGCGGCTCTCTTCTTGTAGGCAGCGTTGGCCCGAGCAACGTTGGTATCGGCAACCTTGAGTTGCTCCTGATCAACAGTAAACTGGATGGGAGCGGAGGCAGCCATGGTACGCAGGTAGTACATGCCAGTCTTCAGACCCATCTTCCACCCAGCAAAGTGCATACTGGTGAGCTTGCCCATAGTAGGCTCCTTCAGGTGAATGTTGAGAGACTGAGACTGGTCAATGAAAGCACCACGGTCGGCGGCCATCTGCAGGATGGTACGCTGGGAGATTTCCCACACGGTCTTGTAGAGAGCCTTGATGTCGGCGGGAATGTTGGGAATGTTCTGAACGGAACCACCATCTGCGATGATACGGTTCTTCATGTTGTCCGACCACAGACCAAGGTCAACAAGATCCTTGAGAAGCCAGGGGTTGACGACCTGGAACTCACCCGCAAGAACACGGCGGGAGTAGATGTTCGAGGTGTAGGGCTCGAAACATTCATTGAAGCCCAGAATCTGGCTGGTGCTTGCAGTGGGCATTGGTGCCACCAACAAACTGTTGCGCACACCGTGCTGGGCAATCTTGGCCTTCAGAGAATCCCAGTCCCAGAGGTCCGTGGGGGTTCTGTCCCACATGTCATACTGGAGGATACCCTGAGAAACGGGGGAGCCCTCGTAAGTCTCGTAAGGACCAAACTCCTTGGCCAGCTCACACGAAGCAGTCAAAGCACCGTGATAGATGGTCTCAAAGATCTGGATGTTTAGCTGTCTAGCCTCGGCAGAGTCGAATGGCAGACGCAGGGCAAGGAAGGCATCGGCCAAACCATTGACACCAAGAGCAATGGGGCGATGCCGCATGTTGCTCTTCTTGGCCTCGGGAACAGGGTAGTAGTTCACGTCAATAATCTTGTTCAAGTTGCGAACCAAGACCCGTACAACCTCGTGCAGCTTGCCGAAGTCATACTCTCCACGGGCCGCGTCGACGAAGGTAGGAAGCGCGAGAGAAGCCAGGTTGCAGACAGCAACTTCGTCAGGAGCACTGTACTCAATGATCTCCGTGCAAAGATTGGAGCTGCGAATAGTTCCCAGGTTCTTCTGGTTGCTCTTCTTGTTGCAGGCATCCTTGTAAAGCATAAAGGGGTTGCCAGTCTCGGTCTGAGCCTCAAGGATAGCATACCAAAGCTTCTGGGCCTTGATGGTCTTACGGCCACGGCCTTCTTTCTCGTACCTATTTCACAATCAGCACATACCCAAATGACTGGTGGCCACGGCGCAAACTCACTGTTCATAAAGAGCATCAAACTCGTCGCCATAAACATCCGCCAGCCCAGGGGCTTCATTGGGACAGAACAGAGTCCAGTCACCGTTGGACTCAACTCGCTTCATGAACAGATCAGGGGTCCACAGAGCGTAGAACAGATCACGGGCTCTGACTTCCTCCTTACCGTGGTTCTTGCGAAGATCCAAGAACTCAAAGACATCGGCGTGCCAAGGCTCGAGGTAAATAGCAAAAGCGCCAGGGCGCTTGTTTCCTCCCTGGTCGACGTATCTGGCAGTGTTGTTGAACACGCGAAGCATAGGAACAATACCGTTAGAAGAACCGTTGGTGCCACCAATGTAGGAGCCTGTGGCTCGGATGCGGTGAACATTAAGACCGATACCACCGGCGGTCTTCGAGATCATGGCACAAGTCTTGAGGGTGTCGTAGATACCCTCAATGCTATCCTCCTTCATATCAACGAGGAAGCAAGACGCCAGCTGGGGCTGGGGAGTACCAGCATTGAACAGGGTAGGAGAAGCATGAGTGAAGTATTTCTGAGACATGAGATGGTAGGTCTCAATGGCCTTCTCGATATTGTTACCGTGAATGCCAACGGCAACACGCATCAACAAGTGCTGGGGACGCTCAGCAATCTTGCCGTTGATTCGTAGCAGGTAGGACCGCTCAAGTGTCTTGAAGCCGAAAAAGTTGTAGTTGAAGTCACGATCGTATACAATAGCAGAGTTGAGCTCATCAGCATGTTTCATGACAATTTCATACGTCTCTTTCGAGATCATTGGCGCGGGTTGCTTGTTCTTGGGGTTGACATAGTGGTAGAGATCAGAGATGACCAGCGAGAACTGTTTCTTGGTTTGCTTGTGGAGGTTGGAAACGGCTATACGGGCAGCTAGGATGGCATAATCAGGGTGAGTGACGGTCATGTACGCAGCAGTCTCGGCAGCCTGTAAAAGGAATGACAGGTAAGCAACTGTCTTCCATCATTTGAATGGTTATGAGCCATACCAAGTTATCCAGCTCAACAGTGGTGACACCCTGGTAGACACCAGAGATGACCTTCTGCGTGATAGCAGCAGCATCAACATGTTCGGGATCAAGACCATAGCACAGTCTTGATACACGTGCAGTGATCTTGTCGAACTGTACGCGTTCTTTGCGTCCGTCTAAAGATTTCGCAAGTCAGCAAGAGTCCGATGTCCAGTGGCAAGAAACCAGTCCGCCCCGAAGAGTCGAAGACTTCTTGTCGCCAACTAGGCTAAAGAAAGACTATGAATCTGGATCATCCAATCCTTACCTCTCTTATAGACAAACATTGTGACTGATATTAGAGGACTCGAGGTCGAGGGTGATGAAGGAACAAATGTGCAACGGGGTATAATGTTATATCAGGAGGTGAGGAAGGTACTCAAATGCTAACTGTTGAATCTAAAGGATGAAGAAATGAATGAAGGGGTCGTAATCTAAGAGAAAGATGTTGAGTAAAGGGATCAAAGGAAGACATGAGAGGGAAAGAAGTCGGAGGGGCAGAGGTATTTGATATGTCGCCAGGGCGAACGCGTACCCTCGTGAGTATTGACGCGAATTTTCGTGTTTGGACTAAATGGTGTCCCCTTGAAGATACTGCATCCTTTGTAATCAATCCCAGATTTGTCAGAACTACGGTGGGCCGGGAACGCGCAGAAGCGCAGTCACGTGATCTGGAGGGATTGCTTCATTTGCTTGTTTATTTGTCCCTGAGAGGCTCCCTTATTGACCCCACGAAATAAGACTCGTTTTCGATGATACATCACTGAAACATCAAATCATGCAGAATGTGTCTTACGCAGGACAAGGAATAATCTCTGTTTGTACAGATATATGTACTCTTCTATGAGATGGTTCAGAGTCAATCCATGACTCGAACTAGAATGGACAGAACAAAAATGAAGCAATAAAAAGACGATTCACGAATGTCGCAGTGCAACTGTCGATCAGATGAACATTTCTTATGGATCACATCTCTACAGGGTCGCAGCAAAGCCGAAGAAGACGACAGCCGCAAAGGCTGCTGCGGAGACCTGTCGATCAGACGAGCCAGCTGAGACGGTCTGGGAAGTCGACGCGGCGCTGGAGCTAGAAGTTCCGGACTTGCTCTCCCCAGAGCTAGAAGAGCCAGTCGCAGTAGCAGTGACGAAACCGGTGTTAGATGCCGAGCCCTTAGTGGAAGTTCCGGTAGCAGATTCAGAGGTAGTCGTAGAGGATTTGATATCTTAAGAAATGTGCCGTTAATGATGTGGCCAATTTATCATTCTGAAATCCCGCGATGCGCCTTGATGCGCCTTGGAGAACATACCAACTTTGTAGCCTGCAGCATCGCAGGTATCAGCGAACCACGTCAGGGCTGCTTGCTCGCTATCACCACAAGTGTCCGCGATCTTTTTCTGAACATCATCGCCATTCGTGACACACACAGCCTTGAGGTCGGCGGGGTTCTTCTCAGCTCTGTTGTCGGAGGTATTAGCTAATGGTCCCTTTGCCAATATCACATTTCAAGAATCGAATCAAGCGTACCCTACAACCGAGAGAAGGCAGGCAGGCGTCTGCGCAGCAGCGACAATGTTGCCCAGTGCCAGGAATGAGAGAATGAAAGTAGACTTCGAGAAGAACATTTTGATGGTGAGCGTCGAGACTTCGGACAAAGGTATCAATACGGGTTATCGATCAGGAGTGAAGAGTCGTAGAAGCAAATATGGTAAGGCGAATGAGTGACAATATTGTAAACAAAGAGCGACTGGATGATTCTATAGAAAAGAGCGTAGGTTGAAGGGTATGAATCAAATGAATGCCTGCGTAAAGAGCGACAGACAACAATCAGTAGAACGGATAAAGATCTCAAAGCAGAATCATCATCAGTTGGAGAAGCAAAGCGGGAATCTTAGGGGGCAAACGACCTTCGCGGAGCGCCTTGCGTCTCAAAACAGTTATGACCCTGCCGATCACTACCTTAGGTAGTCCCTGAGCAACCTTGGTACCGTAGGTAATTTGTTGCCCAAGACCAATCTTACCATACGGCACTAATGCTGGATGTGGTCTGGTGGAGTATCTGGGGGTGTTAAGCTTATGTAATATATTCTATACCTTACCTACCTAGTCTCCCTTCCTGATGCAGTGGAGGTTGCCTACATGTTTTGTGCCGATTTGCTATCTGGGGTGGTGAGCATAACTTGCTTCCATATTCTTTAGGAGGCAGGCCTAAACAAGTAGTTCTGGTTCTCAGCACGTAAGTCATAATGCAAATTGACAGACCCAGAGGCCGTAAAGAAGTCATCAAGTGGTGGTTGTATATGGTCGAAAAGCCCAAAACGAAACATGACCATCCATCGAGAACGATAGGGCAATCACCTATCCCACCGGGTATCATAGTAACTGGTAATAATCTCTTGAACATCCATCCTGTTATCCACAATCTCCCGTCCGTTGACGAGATCGTTCTCTATCGCCCGTTTGTCCGCCTCAGCTTCATCCTTCGCGATCCCCGCTTGAACATGTCGCCGGACCAGCCTCTTCCGGGCAGTCTCAAAATCGACATCAACGAACCATAGCTCGTCCATGAGCTTTGCTGCAGAGCTCCACGGCTCCTTGTTCAAACTGAGGTAGTTTCCCTCGAAGAATATTATCCTGCTCGTGGGAGCAATGGGTATATCGTCATCAACCGGATCCTTGACCGCATGATCGAAGCTTGGAGCGTACAATATGCCCGTCTTCGATGTTATTGGCTCCCTCAGTGCCTGAACTAGCCTCAGAAACTTCTCGCCATCAAAGGTGAAAGCCGCACCACGTCGCGCAGCAGCGTAGTTTGGATCCGGCATTTGAGCCAGTTGTGCTCGTGTGAGGTGATAGCCATCCATAGGGATGTCCGCCGCTATGGACGGCTGATTTGCATATTGTTCTGAGTAGAGCTGGTTGATGCGATTGGCCATAATGCTGGCGAGTCCTGTCTTCCCAGAACCTGGAATGCCACTAATAGCAATCATCAAGCGAGCGTTTTCCGGTAAAGAATGGAACTTCTCTGAGACAAAGGTAGTTAGTTACATGTTGCAGAGCTTATTAACATTTGGCATATGACATTGGAGATGTATGGGCGATCAAATATCAGATGCAGCTGAGTAGACTCACTCCATACTTTATCCACTAGCCTGTCTACTTGCTCCTCCATGCTGCGAAAGGTCGAGGATCGATGCAAATTAGATGCGACCTCGAGATCAACAGAGAGAACTTCAACAAAGAAGACGGCAAGGTGAAAGCTCCCTGTATCTCGGGTATCGGAAAATGCAATCTATAGTATGCGACTGCTCTCAAGAGGTGCTTCTATGGTAGGTTCTAACACGACACAAATGCATAGATACGTCAAAATAACAATTTATCGCAGCTTGGGGAAGCTAATGATTGAAATAAATATAACGCAATTGGCGGGGCTCGGTCATTGGAGTGGGGTCTTCTCTTCGCAGCAGCGGAAACCCCAGCTACGTCACAAGAGGACTCGGCGGCTTTCTACAAACATCATTGCTGGTCGAGTTGCCTACAGTGATGAAGACTAAGTGAATGAGCTATTTCCCTGTTTGAATTCAATTAGGGTTGCACATTATGATCACTGATAGGTATTCAAATTTATGAGCTTCAAGTATGCTAATGACCGATCTTCAACTTCAAACGAACATGAGAACTAGCCATGCACGTCTTTTAGAGTCCCAGTTTGATTTCAGAGAATACGCAGTCGCTAATCTAGACGACACTCGGTTTTGGTTGGGCAAATCACTGTTCTTTGTTTTTAAACAGCTAACCAGCAACAACTGGGGCATATGTGCACAGATATTCTGACACGATTTATAGGACTATCAAGCAACACCCAAAGCAAAGAGCTCCGCTCACTCGAGCTATTGAAAGTAAAACCAGCTTCGGAAACCCAGGAACGCCCATCATCCTTCTCGCTGAGACCGGAAACACTCCGAACAATTGCCCCTGATTGAGAACCAAGGAATAATCATATCACAGGTCAAAAGATCAGATAAGCATTTTCATAACGGTCTAGCCGACGCATCCATAGTTTCGGTGTCATTGGAACCGTTGTTTGTGCCAAGCCTATGGCCAATGGTGGGAGACAGTCCGGCTGCTGCCCACCAGTCATCAGGTATGACTTCCCTACGAGCAAGCCGATCCAATATCGCTTGCATCTGCTGCAGTTCTGGATCGGTAGAAGAGTTGGAAAAGGCGAATGAGATTGTGGGAATAGGAGGATGGCTACTCATTGTTGAGTGCAAGTCATCTGAGCGTCTGGAAGTACCCATTTGGTGCACTCGGCGACGGGAGCGCCGCCACAAAGAGAGCTGATTAAAATCTCCTTCCGATGCAGAATCGGAATCTGTGGAACTAGGATAGTCACATGGATTGATATATTCTGGGTACGGATCCAGCACCATCCGCACCGTTGCTGTACTTGAATCGAGGGAGCTAGGAAGTGTCTGAGAAGAGCTTCCTGGATTTCTTGACCCCGCGCTCCCTGATGCATTCAGCCCGGATGCCGACGCTGAAGCAAAGGAAGAATCGGCGCTAGGAAGATTGTCATCGGGCGTAATTGTAGTCAAAAGGGTTTCCCACGCGTCATTCGAAGCGTCATCATCTGGGCTCATGCTGCGTTGACGGTCACCGAGACCATCAACAGTCATGTCGCGATGCATCGTCCGGTTCGCCTCGTTGACAGACCGCCGACCGACTCGCCTTAGCAACGGTACAGTCGACCCAACGACCTCAAAACCCTCTGGGGGGAAAGATGAAAGGCTTGGGCGCGTCTGGGGCGGCGGAGATAGTCTTCTGTGGTATGCAATAGCAGGCGCAAAACTTGGCGTAAAAGCGGCAGTATGCTCCGAGCTCTGTCGGCGGCCAGAGTCAACCGCTGGTGAAGGGCGGCGATACGAATCTGAATTAACGGTGTTGCGCGGAATCCTCATTCGCTGGCCGGGACGTCCATGGCGAAGCGCTTCGTGCAGCAAGCGTTGACCAGCCTCGCGCCTGTTGGCATCGCTGATCATGGAACTCAAATCGAACGGATCTTCACCGGAGGTAGTGTTCGGGACAGGAGACCGTATGTGATGGTGTAATCCATGCGCCTCGCGCTCAATCTCGTCTGCGATCTCACGAGGGAAGGGTGAACGTAATGAAGCGCCTCGTAAGGTGGAAGTACTATGACGCGACGGGCGACGAATAGTGGCCTGGCGACGGATTGCAGAACGCGTAGCGGCAGAAGGATCTTTAATGGGTTTGCTCTTGCTGGCCTCAGGAGAGGGCTCACGGTACATTCTGCGCGCGCATATCAGTAAGGGTGGCTGTCCCATGCGCCGGCAGGCGACAGGCCCAGAGCGCGCTGAAAATCAGAATACTAGTCAAACTTACGGGATACCCATGACTGGAAAGTGTACGCGGATTTAGCAGAAAAACCTCAGGTAAATCCCATCAAAACTGCCTTTAAGAAACAAAGTCACGGCCAAGAGGTCGCGAATCCTTCAGAAAGAAAAGCGCGACGTTTGCGGAGGGGGGCGCAAGAATAATGATGATGGTCTGCCCTTGTACAGCAACGGAGGACAGGGTAAGGTTAGACCCTCCGTAGTTTTGGACTAATTAATGGAGAAAGCGGCAAGACCTCAGTTTTGCTCCAACAGGGAAGCGGAGGCAAACATATTCGCGCCTGAGGCTGCGGCTATGGAACGTAAGGAGGCTGGGATGTGGCGCTGGGAAAACCACAGAACTGTGCGTACAATGCAGTACGGAGCACGCGGAGTTTCCCTTAGGGGAAGTTGAGCGGCTACAGAGTAAGGCCCCCTCATTTCGGGAAAATTACTTGGTGCCTCAGGGCTCAGGCACCAGGTCCTTATCGCCCGGCTGTCAAATTATGTCAACCGGCCTCCGATAAGTTAACTTACCTCAAGTCAGCCGAAATTGATCGGAAAGTTGCAAAGATCTGCACTACTGAGCTTGAGCAGTTTCATATCAATTTCTTTGCCATATTTTGAAATCTTTGAGTCTGAGCCGACTTTGACAGCCTCCATGACTGCCTAACCAGTCCGGAATCGTTCTTGATCATGAGGATTGTTTCTGATAAAACTACAGACGTCACACGATCGGAGGAATGATTGAGCTCGGTCTTAGCCGCATATCTAGGCTCCTCCAACAGACTCCTCTGTCATGGAAGGCCATCCACATAGCTGGAACCAATGGCAAAGGCTCCATTAGTGCCTATTTGTCGCACATGCTGACTACGGGTGGTGTACGCTGTGGTCGCTTTACTTCTCCTCATCTCATCGATCGATGGGACTGCATCACCATAGGTGAGAGCGTTGTGCAGGAGTCCCTTTTTCGCCAGATTGAGGAGAGAGTAAGATTAAGGGATCAGTCACTGGGAATAGGGGCAAGTGAGTTTGAGCTGCTCACTGCCACGGCATTTGAGATCTTCAATCATGAACACGTCGAGGTTGGCGTGGTCGAGGTGGGAATGGGCGGTCGCTTGGATGCTACGAATGTGCTGAGCGATGTATTGGTGTCGGTCATTGCGAAAATTGGGCTGGATCATCAGGCCTTTCTGGGAGATACGCTAGAACTAATCACCCGCGAGAAGGCCGGGATATTGAAGCCTGGTGTTCCATGTGTGGTGGACGGCACCAACGCTCCGGAAGTGATTAGGACCCTTGGAGATCGTGTTAACGAGTTGAAGATCGATGCTATCTACGCGCATCCTGATACTATATGCTCCCAGTCACCATCTCTGGGCCGTATCTTCAGGGAGCTTGATCTACAGCGTCATCAACGGGCTAATATGTGCTGTGCGGTATCAGCGCTTCGGCTCGCCCTAGCGAAGGTTCGCCCAGGGCTCGAAGTGGACATGCTTCTGCCTTCCCTCAAAAACGTAGAGTGGCCAGGACGTTTGCAGAAAATCTCCCTCCGTCCTCTCAACGCCCGCAAAGAGCCTGTCTTGCTCGACGGTGCGCACAATAGCCAGTCGGCTGAGGTTCTGGCAGAGTACGTGGACAAAAATTTGCGTCCTCAGGGTAACATCACTTGGGTCATTGCAGCGTCGCGTGGGAAGGATGTGACCGCGCTCTTCCATTCGATAATCAAATCTGGGGATAAGGTCGCCATCACGGCATTCGGTCCTGTCGATGGAATGCCATGGGTGAAAGCAGCGGATACAGAAGAATTGGCTCTCTGTATTCAATCAATTCCAGGTGTCCAAGACGTACGTACATTTGGCGGGGACGTTCTTGCTGCCATCAACTGGGCTTGTACCGAGGCTGGCGACTGCCCCTTGGTAATTGCAGGGAGCCTGTACCTTGTATCAGACGTTCACCGTCTCTTGCGTGAAGCGCGCAAAAGTGCAGGAAATATACCGGGGTCATTAGAGGCATAATGATTTGAGATACCCTTTTTAGAGCAGCATTTTGAAATGGTACCATGTCATGTAGATAGACCAGTCGATCATCATGCCCAGAGAGCGAGAAGACTTCATTGCGAAGGCGTTTTTGGGCACGGAAAGACAATGTAAACGACAAAGGAGATTAGTCCCTCACTTGTAAGGATGATTAGATTGAGCAGGATACCACTGATATCGTTAGGTCGTCAAGATCGTAAGATCGGCTCTGATAAGGCTGATCGGAGATACTGAAGGAGCCGGTCGCTGCGTCATGGTCCGTACGGGAGCTGACCCTTGTGGAGAAGCAAAAGTTCAAAAACATTGCTTTTTACTTTTTCTGCAACAGCGAACACAGCAGTAAGTATGACTTTCCTGGTCCATCATGAGCTTATTCTTCTACGATAAGTTCAACTAATAAGAAGATAAACTTAGCATTTCAGAAGCAGGCCTCTGATGTGCATGTGTAGGGACGTGTGTATGCTCAGCGCATGTCGATGACCGTGAGAGCAAGAAGGGCCCCTGTATGTTTCTTAAACTTCTCATCATGCCATTTTGATGACGAACGGATTTGTTCTGACACGTTCTTCTCCCTGTACCAGCTATATTACTTTACTAACAGTCTTCTTCCCATGGCAGAGCGTGCTGACATGATTGATCCGACCAACCCCTGGCTCCTGCCTTTTCTTTATCGATCATTTTCCATCTGACCACCTGGTCCGAGACAACCGCGGAGACTAGCGACTCAATACAAAGGGGGTACCTTCCTCTGAATTCTCCGGCAATGGTCTCTAGATCTAGTGAGGGGAATGAGGGGCCCCCTCCGTCCTCAAGGACTCCTGGGACTCCAGCCAAAGCGCGAGTCGCCAAATTCGGATCCAGCCCCTCGAAACGGGACGAAAAACCCGGCGAGGGCAGAGTGGTAAAGTCATCTGCGAAAGATGTCGCCGAGCTCAAAGATTATGTACGTATATGGCCCTGTTACGTGTACGCAAGCCTTGAGTTGCTAATGCTGGCACGTTGAAGCAATTGGGCGACTGTTTGGGTAGAGGCGCATTCGGTTCAGTGTATAGGGCGCTAAACTGGAACACTGGGGAGACTGTTGCTGTGAAGCAGATCAAGTTGGCCGACCTCCCGAAAAGCGAATTACGAGTTATAATGGTATGGTATTTGGATCCGACGGTCTGTTGGGACGGACGCCGTTACTGACGATATATGCTATTGCAGTTGGAAATCGACCTTTTGAAGAATCTAGATGTGAGACCCAGGCGCAAACAAACACAGCCGTTCCACGGAGCTGACTGAATGGCCACAGCATCCTAATATCGTCAAGTACCATGGTTTCGTGAAGTCTGCTGAAACTTTAAACATTATCTTGGAGTAAGTCTCTCTGTCCATCGAACGAATAAATATCGAACGTGCTAACAAACGTAGGTATTGTGAGAATGGCTCCTTGCACTCCATCTCCAAGAACTTCGGTCGCTTTCCCGAAAATCTGGTGGGGTTATACATGTCGCAAGTTCTCCATGGGCTTTTATATCTGCACGAACAGGGTGTCATTCATAGAGATATTAAAGGCGCAAACATCCTCACGACAAAGGAGGGACTCGTCAAACTTGCAGACTTCGGTGTCGCCAGCCGCACTACTGGACTGAGCGAATCGAGCGTCGTTGGTACGCCGTACTGGATGGCTCCCGAGGTGATTGAGCTTTCAGGCGCAACTACAGCCTCGGATATCTGGAGTCTCGGGTGTACGGTCATCGAATTGCTTGAAGGAAAACCTCCCTACTACAATCTTCAGCCCATGCCGGCGCTGTTCCGTATCGTTAATGATGACCATCCTCCTCTTCCACAAGGCGCCTCTCCGGTAAGTCCTTTGTCCCCTGTCGATTAGGCATCCTTTCTAATGACGATACTAGGCAGTCAAAGACTTCCTGATGCAATGCTTCCAGAAAGATCCTAATCTTCGTGTCTCTGCAAGAAAGCTCCTGAAACACCCTTGGATCGTTAATGCTCGTAGATCGGACTCAGTGGTGCCGAAGAAGTCTACGGAGTATGAAGAAGCGGTCAGAAGCGTCCAAGAATGGAACGAGGCTCTGCGATCTCCTGGTGCGGGAACTTTACGGAAGCCCTTCAGACACGATCATCAGAGTCCAAGTCCCCTTCGGCGCAATCAGCCGCCGTCTCGAAACACCCCCACCAAAGACGCTCTTCCAAGCCCCGTTGTCAGCAATGCCAAAGACCAATCCCTGTTGTCGAACGCAACTGCCGAAGATAATTGGGACGATGACTTTGCAACTGCCATTTCTCCTAGTGCGCTGCAGCTACCACATCTTCGACCGCATGATAATTTCGGAGGAATGCTTTCCTCTGAGAAGCTCAAGGCATTTGCCTCACTAGATGGGACGGTTATCAAATCCGAGGATAGTTTTGAAGACTTCAACGACTCGTTTCGGACTACTTTGCACTGCGGGGAGTCGGATCCTCTGCAGACTATCCGACCTTTTCCATTCAAGCAGACCGGCGCGGACGATGGATTCGCGCAAAATTCGCCGCTCCAGATGGAGCCCAAAAGGTCTACTCCTTTCGTACATAACGTCCCAATTCTGACGCAGAATCCTGTTCCACCTTCGAGACAGGCTCGTCCAGCCTCATTTTACAAGGAAAACTCAGTAGAGGATTATTCTGATCTCATAATAACTGATGAAGACGTTCTGGGCCCAAAACTCAACATTGTGAAAGTAAGCATGGAGGCCAATATTTATCCGAATGTTGATGACTGTTTGTCTGACCTGTTTCAGGAGACCGATGAAGATCAATATCCCTCGAATTTAGCAGACCTTCCCCCGTCAAAGGAGATAGTCCGATATCACACACACCCTCAGGATGACGAGCAGGAACCCCAATTACGGAGGCAGCTCTCAACCAAGCGTCATAGATCAGCGGTAGAAATTCACAGATTTGCCGAGAACGAGAGAGACGAAGACTTCTCTGATATCTTGGGGGCTGAGGAGGTGGCCCTAGACAGGCCGGACAGCGATGGTAGCTCGGATAGAAGCACCTTGATGCTCAATTCACGACACTCAAACAATTCTTGGCTCGGAGACCAAGACGACGAAGATGATCCATTCGCCCAGTTAGAGGAAGGGCTCGATGAAATGGACTTGGAAGCCAACATTGCGCGCGATAAGTATGCTAGGCTCCGTGGTCAAGTCGAAGGGTTAGTTAGCTCTTTGAAGACATCTCAAGATGAAGACGTACTTGAGGATATCTCAGAGCAGTTGTTGACGATATTCTGTGATCTTCCGGAAACGAAAAATATCATTATGAGCGCTCACGGCATGCTACCGATACTAGAGATTCTTGATACGTGCCGCCGACGCGACGTCGTCTCATGTCTCCTGAAAATTGTCAATGCAATTATCTATGAGGATTACGAGATTCAAGAGAACTTGTGTTTCGTTGGTGGAATCCCAATCATCAATGAATTCGCTTCGAAGAAGTACCCGCGCGAGATCCGACTGGAGGCAGCTGCTTTTGTACAGCAGATGTATCAAACTTCTACCCTGACCCTTCAGATGTTTGTCAGTGCCGGAGGGTTGAATGTTCTTGTGGAATTTTTGGAAGACGATTACGAGGATGAACGAGATCTGGTCCTTATAGGCGTCAATGGAATTTGGAGCGTCTTTGAGCTGCAAGTAAGTCCAGTTCATCACAGACTCTATGCAGTCAACATCTGACACTGGCAAGGGATCAACGCCAAAGAATGATTTCTGCAGAATCCTGTCTCGCAGTTCGGTCCTAGACCCCTTTCACTCGTATTGAGCCGAGTATTGGACGAAGGTGGAGAACTCGCCGAAATAGTCGAGGGGCGCATTGCCAGCATCTTCTTCGTCTTCTCTCAGGCTGAAAATCATGTGAAGGAGATGGTTGCCGAACGAACTGTTTTGCACAGTAAGTTTGGATACTTGCCCCGCGAGGTCATAGCTTTCTGACTCCAAATACTTAGGGGTGCTGAAGGAATTGAAGCGCATGACTCCTGCTCATCAAATAACCATGTTGAAGTTTATCAAGAACTTGTCCATGCTGTCAACTACACTTGACTCTCTGCAGAACTCAAACGCCATTGACGTGCTGACTGATCTCTTGCGGTCAACCATCAAACGGCCACACTTCCGAGAAGTCTCCAACCAGATCCTGAATACAATCTACAACATGTGTCGTCTAAATAAGTCCCGGCAAGAGGACGCTGCATTGAACGGTATCGTGCCGCTGCTCCAAAAGATTGTTAAGACTGAGCGACCCTTAAAGGAATTCGCTTTACCAATCCTCTGCGACATGGCACATTCCGGAAAAGTGGGCCGTCGTGAGCTATGGCGCAATAGAGGATTGCCTTTCTATATATCCCTGCTTTCCGACCCTTACTGGCAGGTGACTGCCTTGGATGCCATTTTTACCTGGTAAGCTCATTGTGCCTTTCGGCAGACGTGGCTTAAACTGATCTCCGTAGGCTACAGGAAGAAACGGCAAAGGTCGAGGAGCACTTACTCAGTTACCACCCTGATCAGCCATCATTCACAGAGTCCATTATCAGATGCTTAACAGTCTCGAAGGCTAATGCTTTTGAGAATCTCCTCGAACCGCTTCAAAAGCTCCTTAGGCTGAGCCCTCCCATCGCACTGACATTCGCCCGGGAAGACATGTTTGTCCGGATCAGGCAAAAATTGCATCACAACAAAGCTGCTGTTCGCTTGAACCTTCTGCGAATCATATCCAGTATCTGTGAGGCCAGCGAAGACCAAGGTGGTCTTCTGGCAGAGTATGGCCTTCTTGAAGCAATCAGAGAACTGGAGCATGATCCGGCTATCCTCGTTCGGGACATGGCTGGAAAACTCATTCAGGCTAATGAGAGAAGCGAATCCTATGGATTAGGGAAGCGCAGGCCAGGTGTGAGGAGAGGAAGTACAGCTACTACTCCGCCCGGTCTTTTGACAAACCAGTCTGCTCCGAGTACTCCTTCGATGCCTCGCACGAGTCAGTCGAAAAGCTACTTCGATGGGCGCGAGGTCCAAAGGCACCCGCGAAATGCTCTCAGTGGGTCAGCGCTGGCGCTGCGGCCTGCTAGTAGAGATG